AGGATTTGGCCATCTACTGCACTGGCGACAATTGGGCATTCTTGGCGTGGTTGAGAGCTAGATCCCAGAAGCTGTTGTGTACCATCCTTTCCATTCTGCATTTGAGAAGATAGCCCTTCAAAGTGTTCCCTCCATGTCTCTGGCTTGGCTGTGTTCCCCTTTGAAGTCCTGTAGCAGTTGTTGTCTATAAATAAGTCATGCCCAGTGCCACCAAAGTTCTGAGATGAAGGGCACTTACAAGAACACAGAGAATATAGGACAATGTTAGGGATACATCCTGGTTTCATTCTTTTCCCCCTACCTCTACTCAGACCTTCCACTTCCAACTTCGTGTAGAAAATACATGAAGGCCCCAGAGAAAATAATCAAAGCTGTGTCACACTCAACAGACTCTTTCTTGCTTCCCTTTAACAAGAAGGAAGAAGAAAGAAAGAAGCAGTTGGATAAGAGCCCAGGAGCCCACATCAATTCAGACTTTCTTGGACATCCCTCCCCACGCCCCTGGTGGTAACACTAGTGATAACTACATTTACTGGGGCTTATTCTTGACTCTACTGTGTTCGGTTATCTCACCTCATCCTCATGACTGCCCCCTGGAGATGTAGTACTCATATAAGAATTTCCATTTCATAGATGGGGAACTAGGGCTGTAGAGAAGTTATGCAGTACTTTCCCTAATTTTTTTTTTTTTTACTTCTAGATGTACATAGAAAATAATATTAGAACTTTACCCTGAGATAAACTGATAGAGCTGCTCAAGGTGGAGGTGATGGGCCTTAGTCTCCAGCTGTTTCAGGTACCACTTACCTGTGTCCTGAAGAGGGCACACCCACACTTGTCCAAGACTGTAAGGCTAGCAAGTCATAGATTGTAATCTGTGTTTGCTGATTCTTGATTCCAGATTCCTTAAATATATATATATATATATATATATATATATATATATATTCTCCTTCTGAGGGACTGTCTGAAAGCCAGGATATTGAGACTAAGAACTCTGCTTTCAATTCTGGGTTTGAAACATGTTACCATGTCATAGACTCTACTTTCTCTGAAGTTCCACTTGTTTTAACTTAAAATAATCTACTGAGTGTCTTACCTGATTAAGGCTTATTTGCTTGTTTGCTTTTTAAATATTAACAGTTTGGAGATTATTCTGTAGTGATCAGAATCTTGCCTATTTTGAATCTACCCAGGCTCTCTTTCCACTCGACAATGAAATCAAGTTGTTCAAATTATTTGGGGATCCAAATTGGTGTATCAGTATCTAACCTAGAAAGATATGGAGAAATCCTTCATTTCTCAAGGTGATGCTACTGGTGTCAGGCAATTAATTACAGAATATAGAGCCAAGCAAACTATTTTCCCAAGGTCGCAACCTGTATATCCACAGTGCCTTATAAAACCAGGAAATTGACATTGATATCATACTGTTAACTCAACTGCACACCTTACTAACATTTCATCGGGACTAGATTTGTTTTAGCCAATAGAAGTAAGCTGCAAGTTATGAGATTTGACTGAGATATGAAAAAAACAAAAGATTTGATGAGCATGGTTGAAGCCAGTGATCAGAGAAATATAAATCCATTTAACCTACATCAGTAATGACACATACAGAGTTCAATACTGCATCAGTAATCAATTGCTTAAGCACAGTTGGGTTAAGTGCTACAATGGAGAAATAAAGATTTAACACATGTATATAATGGGGGAACTGCATGTGGTCTAAGAGGGAAGCTTTCAATAGGATAGTCACTTAGAGATCTCAAGATGGACAGGAACTAACAATTCGGTACAGGAGTGCAAGGTGGTTCTTAGTTGAGAGCTTAGATTCTAAGCCTTAGAGATCACATAAGGGTTTGTCCCTGGGGTCTCCTGTTTCTAAGCTTTCAGGACTGAGTCCAGTTACTCTTGCTGCATAACAAACCATCCTCACATTAGTGGCATGAGATCCTAGCTATTTTATTATGGGGAATATTGGTCTTTCAAACATGATGTTTGAGGCCTCACTGGGAAGATGGAAAGGCAGGTGGTGGTGACTGAATGTCTGGGGAGCTGGAATGGTGTGAAGGCCCATTCACTCCTGGCTCTAATGTCTGGGCTGGAGAAGCAAACTCCAGGACTACCATCAGGAGTACTTACCGGAGGCTTCCTCACAGCACGGTGGCCCCAAGGTAGTCGGGCCTCTCACAGGGTGGGTCACAGCACCAAGCATACGTTCCAGCACGCACGGGGAAACTGCATTATGTTTCCTGACTTAACCTTAGCTATCAGGCAGCATCATTTCTGACACCTGTTAATGTTAAGTGAGTCACAAGCCCAGCTTCAGAGGTAGGGAGACACAGACCCTCCTTTCAATGCGATAATTGACAGAAAAGTTGTGACCATTTCTAGAAAACTGGCCCACTATGCATCTTCACAAATAGGCCATCTGAATGCTTTTCTTTCTACATATACATTTAGAGCTTGACGTCTTACTGAGTAATTTGAGCCGTTACTTGTTGTTTTCATTGTTTAGCTCTGAAGGCAATCTTATTCCTAGAGTTTTGGAGTCCCCTCATTTTCATTGCCAGTATGTTCCTCATATCAAGTGTCGGACTCTGCCGTTTCATCAGCTGTGCAATGTTTGCCAGAGAAGGGGCAAACGTTTCTTTCATTTTTGAAACAGTTTCTTCTAAGATGCAGAACTTGATCGGATCACAAGATTCTGTGGCTCAAGCAAGCATTCTACCAGGCTGTGGAAATGTGGGACTTCAATGTCACTCATAATTTTAAAACTAAATGTGAAATCTCAGCTGGGCTCCTGGACTCAGGTAGTAACGTGGTATCAAAGTAGAAAAAGATTGATTGCTTTTATGTTGTTGCTGGTGTGATTTATTTTAAATTCTGCTGAACCCTGGGAGAAGGAGCTGTATTGTAACTCAAAAACTGACTTATGCTGTTTTGCCCACATCTCGTACAGTTGCTCCAAATTCGAAGAAAAGGATGTTTCTGTGGTCGGAAAACATTGGACATTGCAACATCTGTTTTATCTGACATGGCAGAAATCATTATTCCACGTACGTGAATTTTATGAGCAACTGAAGTCTACTGCCTTGGAGTTTTAGAAAATGTTTTAAACTTTCTGGAATGAGATAGATCTTTCTAAGGTGCATTACACACATTCCCCTGTTTTCTTAGATGTAAGGTGATCAACTATTCTGGTTTACCTGGAACTTGTCCTGTTTTAGCACTGAAAGTCCTATGTCCTGGGAAAGCTCTAGTCAGGGTAGACTGGGACAGTTGGTTACCTTGCAGTTAAATATGAGCTTAATTTCACTGTTTTCTGGACTCTGTGTGTTGGTGTGAACCCAGCTATGCTGAACGTTGCAATTCAATGATGTCTTCAGGATGACTGAGGCATCGAGCACCATATGTTCTTAGACTATATAATGAGCTCTGCTCATCCAAATGAGGAACTCGCTGTAGTTCAATGTTGCTTCCAAGCACTTGGGGTTTGTAAATTACTTTACCTGAACCACCCAGGGGCCAATAAGTGATGGTGCAGTACATGCAGACTAGCAGCAACAGGAGCTGTTACCTGTGGGCATGAAGGAGTAGAGAGAGGAAGGTTACCAGAACTTGTAGAGAGAGCAAGAGAGGGAGAGAGCAAGAGAGTGTGCTGTATGGAAAGGGTCCCTTGTGAGAAGCTGAGATGAGTAGGGTTGAAACCATGGGAAAAATATCCAAATCACATTTTGCCCCTCTGCACCACCTCCTGGGCACCTGGTGGTGTCTGCTATTTGTGAAACCAACCAGAGGCCTATGGGCAAGGAAGCCCACTGGTATAGTCTACACAGGTCACCATTCCAGGGCACACAACAGAGTGCAGAAGAGTGGAAAGTAGGTCTGGAGGGTCAAATAGAAGATGTCAAGCACACTGATTTCAGAGAGTTCCTTAGATTCTGTTCTTCCTCTTCTATTCTGGCTTCCTTTGTTTAATATCCATGACCTGCAAAGCTATCTAAAGGATCTTCATTAAAGCTGCTACTCATGGGGCCACTGATAAAAAAGTCCATAGTCCTGCCCGGCCAGTGTGCCTCAATGGTTGAACATCGGCCCATCAACCAAGAGGTTCCCGGTCCGATTCTCGATCGGGACACATGCCCAGGTTTTGGGCTTGATCCCTAGTAAGGGGCAAGCAGGAGGCAGCCAATTGATGTTTGTCTCTCAGAGATGTTTTCATCTCTCTATCTCTCTCCCTTCTCTCTAAAAAAATCAATAAGACTCCATAGCCCTTCCAGTACTGTTCTCTTCCAATGTACTTGTGCTAGTCTGAGTCATCTAAGAAGCAGTTGCTAAGACAGGATTAAAAGTGCAAGGATTTATTAGTGGAAGTGCCTAAAAGAGAAGCGGGGGATGAAGCTGGGAAGGTTGAGAGGGCCATCAGACTGACCCTGAATGAAGGAGAGAGGGATAGACACATCCTGGCCTGCCATGCAGTTCTGAGGAAGGTTCATAAGGTTGTCAGGGAGTCTTTAAGCTGAAGCCACGGTCAGAAGAGTCCTGTGTCTCCTCTGGATGAAACTGCCCTGGCCCTGCCATGTTCAGTCTTTGGTTGGGAGCAGCCTGTAGAAGTGTGGCCTTGGTCCACATGTGGTGATGAATTTCAGAGTACAGCAGCTAGGCCCTTAGTCAATTATTCTTCCCATAATTGGAGACCCGTGAGGTGCATTCTCATACTACCCACCCCCAAAATCCCAAAGCTGCTGGTCCTCAGGAATGCCTGTTTGTGTTACTGGCTGGACTTTTACTTAAAATTCTTGTCTGTGGCACATGCAATAAGTGGAGAAAAATGTAAGACATCCTTTGCTTGGTCATTAGTAAAAAAAACCTGAGGAAAAATCCTAAATAGTTTGTGTTAATCATTAAACTTGCCCTAGAGTTGGCTCTGAACTTTTACTTTGGCGCACGTTTGGCCAGGACAAACAAGTTAGGTGAGTTACAGTCCAGCATGAGTGAGTTACCTGCACGGTAGCTGCGGGCTGGGCTCTAACCAGATAACAAGGCCACCGTTTCTTGGCAGAGAGGAATAAGATCATTTGGAGAAGAAAGATAATTTCTCCCTTGAGTCACAACGAGAAAGAAACTGAAAAAAGGTACTGTTTGATCAAAAATGTCTCTGCTCTCTGTTTTCTAAGTATTGCCTCTTGCCAATGTTGTGGGGAACAAAAGGAAATGGGCATCTGTAGTAATAACCTTGCAGCTCCGTTTTGCAAAGTTCCCAAAGAAAGACTATAAGGGGAGGGAGGAAAAGAGGATGAAGAAAATGGAGAAGAGAGAGAAGAGAGAGAGAATATTAGACCAAATGCACACGGCTGTCCTCTGGTTGAAAATTTCCTGGTTAAAAGAATTTAAGTGGAGGCTGAATTTATCCTTAGGAAGAATTTGTGGATTAACCATATTAAGAAAAATTGCGTTCATTATTGATTTGCTCTATTCAAGAGGAAAAGATGCAAATCTGAACATAAGGCTTTAAGAAAACCAGTGTGTGAATATCTACTTCCATTGTTCTAAGCTTGGGAGTAATTGCTGAAATGACATGTTAAATTTGTACAGCCAGATTAAAAATAAACTCCTGTGTTGGGGATATTCTGTTGGGTGGAACAAGTAAGTTAGATCCTGTGCTTTGGGATTAGGTAGCAAATACTACTGAGTACCTTCCTCTATGCAGTAGGGGTCTTTCTTAAAATTCATTGTTTTAAAAATGAATTCCATTCCAAATAGATGTAAGCATTTAGGGACTATGGAAGTTTAAAGGAACAGCTGTGTTTTTTTTTGTTTTTTTTTTAAATCAGTTTTATTTGTCTGTTTTTTCAGCTCCTAGCACAGTGCCCAGGGTCTATTAGGCATATAATAAAAGTTTGTGGATTTGAATTAAATATAGATGATTTTATATGGTATTGGACTATCTTAATCAGGACATATCTATAAGTTAATTCTAAGATTTATTTTCCAAATATGTTTTCTGGGCATTTATTGTGGTTTTTATATTTTCTGAAATGGAGTAACTATTTTTGCTAGTCTTAGTGTTTTCTTAAAAATTAAGTGTATCTTTAGTGATGTGTATATGTATGTAATTCTGTTAATTTTTTAAACTTTCAGAAAGTTTTAGAGCCAGTATTTTTTAAAAATATATTTTTATTGATTTCAGAGAGGAAGGGAGAGGGATAGAGAAATAGAAACATCAATGATGAGAGAGAATCATTTGTCGGCTGCCTCCTGCACACCCCCAACCCGGGACCGAGCCCACAACCCGGGCATGTGCCCTTGACCGGAATCAAACCCGGGACCTTTTAGTCCGCAGGCTGATACTCTATCCACTAAGCCAAACCAGCTAGGGCTAGAGCCAGTATTTTTCATAGTATTATATTCGTGCCCTCTGACTCGGGGGGTGCCAGGGAGTCGCTTAGCAGCCTTTCCAGAGCAGGCAGCAGGGTGTTATCTAAGGCATCTGGCTTTTCAGCCAGGCTTCGTGCGTTCTGCCCATCCCGTGTATGTGTAGGTTATTTCAGATTAGGTGAACCCAGGCTACTATTTAAATATCTATTCACCAGTTGAAATTGGCTGAGTGCTGTGTGGGGCCTTGGCACTAAGAGGGTTGTGGAAATACAAGTCCTCGCAGAGGAATGGACGGGCTACAAGAAGAGGCATGTATGTGTGGCACTGCACCATCTGGTCCAGGCTGCACAGGCACAAGCTAGAGGTTCAGGGAGGAAAGGGCAAAGACAGCTGGAATGGCTGGGTGTTAGGGAGGATGTGACTGCAGGCTGACCACCTCGTTGGGCCTGGCAATCAGAAGCTTTTCAATCTCTGCTGTCCTTGGAATGTATTGTTGGGCACTGATGCCCATCTAGAGGCTGGAACTCCAGTTAGAAAGTAGGAAGACAAGCTGAGGTTAGAGAAGGACTTGCAGTTGTCCACACTGGGGCTAGCAGACAAGGTGTGCGAGCAGGATAATAAGTTGGAGAGCTCAGCATGCTGTCTTGCAAAGCTAGGGCGACCAGGCTGCCTTAAGATCTGAACTCTGTGACAAAGCACGATTGGGGCGCTAAGATGCAGAATCCCTGGGAAAGTGAGGGGAATGAAGGGGAGGATGTTGTGGTGATTGACAGTGAAAGGAAATGCCTCATGCTGTCTAGTACTGAGGGAAGCAAAAGCACAGCAACAACAGCCTAAGTCAAGTGGGCAGCCCCCAACTGAGGAAATGTGCGTGATGAGAGAATATATTCCTTCTGAGCTTACTGATATAGCTACCAAGTTCCAGTAGAAGCCCAAGGAAAGTATTCAGGTGTGATTAGTGCAGCTAAAGACTGGGGGTTGGGTGGTGGTGATGGTGGCACTTTTCTGATCTGGCAGGAGGCAAAAAAAAAAAAAAGAAAAGAAAAGAAAAAAGAAAGAAAGAAAGAAAGAAACATCACCACATACCCTGCCCTCTGGCAGAGTCTGCACGGTGGAGAAGGAGGTGGGGTTCAAGGATCCCACTTCCTTATAGATTGGATTATTCTTGCCCTACAGAGCAGGCAATGAGGGTAATCTCCGTAGACCTGTCATACCCTGGAAATCTGTAGAGGAGGCACAAATAATTCTTAGGGACACAGCCTTCAGAAAGTAAGATGATGTTGAAACCATCTGGATGGTACATGTGACTGAACCCAGTTAAGGTCTCTATATAAACTTTTAAGATTCTTGTGGGTGGGTGCAGAGAACTCTACTCATCTTGCTGCCACCAAGACAAGCCTGTATGTAAGTCCCCTTGCTGACTAAACCTGCCGCCTACCAATTTGGAATGTCTGTCTGTTTCTTCCATCTCTCCTTGCCCTCTGGGTTCCGGCCTCAGTTTATGACCCAACACCAGGGATGGGTTCTGTGGATGAAGCGGCTCCTAAGCTGGTCAGTGCAGGAGTTTGGGGAATCTAGGAAGCAACTAGTGGGAGCTAAGGCGGAGGCTGACACGTGGAAGCCTGTCTGAGAGGCGGTGGGAGAACTGCCTGGCTGCAGTGCAGGGTTCATACTGGGGAGCCACTCGAGGGTCAGTTGGGAAGGTACTGAAAGGTCCGAGAGAGGGCTTTCCGATGGAAGTACAAAGCCCGTGAAAGAAAAGCTAACTTTTGTTGGGCTGCCCCTTTGTGCCAGGCCCTGTGTTCATTTCTTTATGTATATATCACTTCAGTTCATCTTGAAACAAATCCTAAGGAGTATTCTTATCATTTTACCAGTGATGGAGGTTTTGCATTGAATTAAAAAGCTTTAAGCTGTTAGTAAAAAACATTCAAACCTGTAAAGTTTTTGTGAGTTTATTTGAGCCAAAAGGTCGACAATTGCCGGGAGGCAGAATCGGAGAGGCAGAATCCAAAGGTATTGAGATAGTGCTCCGAAGAATGGCAGTTTTTGCCTTGTTTTGTGCATTACAATCAAAGGAGGAGACTTAATTGGGTTACTTGAAATCTATTGGTGATAGATTAAGGAGGCGGAAGAAAGCAAAGGGAAGTGGGAGCAAAGTGGGAAACTTCTGGGATTGGATAAAAAATATGATAGACACATACCTCTTTCCCATAGGAGGGTACAGGATAGTTAACAGTCAACAATTAAGGTGATAACAACAACAATGAAGGAATTTGTGGTCTCTGCCTGGCATATTAGGTTGTGCCCTGAGAGGTCTGGAAAAAGGGAAGTTACAAGTTACCCTGACATTTCACAAGAATACAAAAGGACAGTAGGCTCAGTAAAGATCAAAGTTTGATCTTTGTTGGAGAAGATACCGACCTAGGATATGACTACCCACTATAAACTGCTTTTTAATGGGAAGGTGTTACTGTAATTTCAGACCATCCTTTGTGGTTACTTTAGGTTTATGAGTTTGCAAGGCCACCACACAGGCCTTCCCTAAGTTAGTCAGACTAGCCCCTTTCATCCACAAGGCAGAAGAAGAGCACAATGAAGACAGTATTTAAGGAAGGTAGGTCTGGCACACTGGGCATTGTGGGATGAGGTGCAGAGGGTCCAGCTTTTCCTTTCTCTGTTTCTTTCCTCCCTTAATCTTCTACTGTGAGGATAACACAATTTTCCCTTAATTCCCATTAGTACCGTTTTTCAACCCATTACCATACTTAACATTTACCTTGCTAAAGTCTTCACTTTTTAGGGTTGATATTTTTCTAGAGGACTGACAAACAAACAAAACCCTCTCTCCAAACCACCATTAACTAGTATTTATTCACATCTAGATATAATAGATATCTAGAATTTATTTATTTTTCAAAATTAAGCTTTTGTATAATAATGAGTTAATCAGAGATGTTATTATTTATCCAACTCAAACATGCATACAGTAAGTTGGTGGGATAAGGGGATGGGTGAAATAGTGATGTTTTATATAAAGTTCATAGATGCCCTAACTGGTTTGGCTCAGTGGATAGAGCATCGGCCTGCGGACTGAAGGGTCCCGGGTTCGGTTCTGGTCAAGGGCATGTACCTAGGTTGAAGGCACATCCCTAGTAGGGGGTGTGCAGGAGTGCCGGGAGCCGGTCCATCCTTCCTGTTTCAAGGGACCTGGCATATATGGCATACTGTTCTTAATATGTTTGCTCACCTTCTTGGCACTATGTGTTTTAACCAAGGTCACCTCTCTGAGAAAGGTTGTTTCCCCAGGTAGGGATTTTCCCCTGAAGTTAAGGAGGGAATAAAACCCCTTAACTAAGTGCCAGGCGGGTAATTAATCACTTTAACTACGAACAATCATGCTTAAGCTACATAATCTTTACTCCCTGGAATGGAGATAAGAAATGCCCTAACCTTTGGAATAGAGATTGATAGGATTGGAATCAACTGGTATAAATACAGATGTAACAAGACAACAGGACACAGAACTTAGAAGACAGAACCAAGAGAACAGAACCTAGACACAGAACCTACACAGAACCTAGAGACAGAAGAACTTCGCTGGAGAGAACATGACAAAAGATCCTGGACAGAAACTGGCTACAGAACCTGGATAGAACATGACAAGAGAACCTGACTAGAACCTGGTGACTGAACCTGGCTAGAGAACCTGGACAGAACCTGTCTGGAGAACCTGGAGAACCTGGCTGGAGAACCTAGCAAGAGAACATGGACACAGAACCTGGCTGGAGATCCTAACCAGAACTTCACTGGAGATCCTGAACAGAACTTGGCTGGAGATCCAAACCAGAACTTGGCTGGAGATCCTGGCTGGAGATCCTGGCTAGAGATCCTGGCTAGGCTGCTGATCAACTGAACGCTGTCTCCGTGTCATTTCTTCTTCTCCGACTCCGTCTACACCTTTGGGGACCCCTGGACCTGCTGGGGTTGGACCCCAGCACAGGAGGCAGCTGATCGATGTTTCTCTCTCATCGATGTTTCTAACTCTCTATCCTCTCCCTTCCTCTCTGTAAAAAATCAATAAAATATATTAAAAAAAAATAAAGTTCATAGATTATCTTTTTCACCACAGTTTCAGAAGATGGTGGGTCCCTTTGAGTATTCTGTGGTTATATTGGTATCACTTCTTTAATTTCCCAACTTTTAACATAGCGCAGTAACAGTTTTTAAGCCAAATAATATAGTAATTTTTAATTTTATTTTTTATAGAGCGCAAAAGCTATGCTGCTCCAATCAAAACTGAAAATGCTTTTCTGTGTCTGAGCAACTTTGAGAGGATTGACTTAAGTGGATGAGATGATTGCTTGGCTGATCTCTCTGAGAAGTATTGAAATGCTACTTTTGGCAGGTAAGTAGGATGTGTTTTGAAGGAATTAATAGATAGAACATGACATATTACCTTCAGAACTAGTTTAAGGATACTTAAATATTATTGGGGGGAAGTGTTGAAGTATCTGCTCTGGGTTTAAATTTTCTCTGCTTAATAATAATTTTTTTTCCTGCTTAGTAGTTGAGGTTATATATTAAATAGTTATGAATATATACATCAATTTTTAATGACCAGTGTAGGCTGCTTTGATAGTCTAGAGCTTTTAATTATAACTTTCCTTTTATAATTGCTTTTTGGGTCAGATGATATAATTCTTTTTTAGGTTTTATTGTTTTATCTTCCCAAAGGGAGTAACTTATCTTGTCTTAGTGATTAATGACTACTTGTATTAAAATCTCCTTTTTTCAAATTACGTCTCTGTCTCTGTGAAACTGATTATCCTGTGTCATTTTATGGCATTTGTTTTTGGTTTTCTTTAGGTAGAACTATCTAATGCACCTTGGAGGTGTAAGCATGGACTGGTCCTCCGGGGGTTGCGATGAATGACTGTTTAGATGTGAATGATTTCATCACCCTTGGTTGTACAGTGTACCATCTGTAAACCTGTACATGGAAGCCCTAGGCTAGCCAGCTTTAGGGAGACCTGGATTATCATTTAATGTTCTTGATACAGAAACTGAAGTGTTCTGTAGATAACACTTTTCCTGTTGACCTCACCAAGTAGCTGACTGCTTTTTGTGGCTTCCTTGAATTGGCTTTACTTGGCCAAAGAATGTTCAGGAGCATTTTCAAAGATGAGGGATTAATAAGGTTATGTTCAGCCAAAGGTTTCTGTGGGAGAACCCAATCTAGCCTAGCATGTGAAGTGTATAGTGTTTTTTAATCTTATTTTAAGGAAATTCAGCAGTGATCCATGCTTCAGTCCTTTTCTGTATAGGCAAGGCAAAAATCTAGAGAATTTTTATTTGGAGAGTCATTCGGATCACGTATTCAAAACTAGGGGGAGAGCAGAGGGTGGATACTGAGTAGGTGGATTCAAATTAGGACAGCATCTTGAAGTTTCTCCTCTTCTCTGGGAAGTGGAAATACAAGAAATAAGTGGTGACTTTACAATTAAATACAACTGCCTTATTAAAGAGTGAGAAAGAGAGATAAGAGCTATTATGGGTTGAATTAGGTACTAAAGGTGACCTTGAGGCTCTTTCCAGAGGAAGCAGAAATTCAGGATTGTTCTGATGAATACTGGGTTTTTGGTTGCCTAAGATGAGAGAATCAGTCAGAACTTTCCTTCAAATGGGAGTTCTGAAGGTGTGGTCCCTAGACCAACAGCACCTGGTCAGCAATGTAAAATCTTGGGCCCTTTCCCGAACATACTGAATCAGAAACTCTAGGGTGGGGCCCAGCAATCTCTGTTTTGTCAAGCCCTTTTGGAGATTCTGACTAATGTTCAATTTTGCTTCATAACACCGGGGAAGCTGGTGGATTGAATCTGACCTTCAAAAGCAGTGTTTTTCTCACTTATTTATAGTGCCTTGCCTGAGTTTCCACATTGAACCTGAAGAAGGTAGCATTGCAGGGGGAACGTGGATCACAGTCATTTTTGATGGTAGGTTTGTGTCTTACCAAATACAAGTTTCTTAATTATTAATCTAAAGAATTCTAAAGAATATGAGTCTTTGGTGTTTTTCCTTGTCTAAGCACACGTGTGAAAGGGCCTGAAGGGAGACGGTCCAACTGACCAGCTTCTGTGTTTCCAGGTGCTCACATGCTAATGTCCCAGAAGCAGAGCTCCTTATAAGCTGTGTCCACTTTCTTTTATTTTTTTAATTTAATATTTTTATTGATTTCAGAGAGGAAGGGAGAGGGAGGGGGAGAAAGAGTTAGAAACATCAATGATGAGAGAGAATCATCAATCCGTTGCCTCCTGCACCCAACCTGAGCATGTGCTTTGCCCGGGAATGGAACCATGATCTCCTGGTTCATAGGTTGACGCTGAACCATGGAGCCATACCAGCCCATGTCCACTTTCTCATCCCACCTGTGGGGTGGATGGGACTCTAGGGATCCTCAGTGAGGTATGGAAGCACTTGACATACATAGTACTTGGCACTGTGTCCCCCCAGAATCTTGTTTATCTTCCTTGTAGGTCATTCAATACATGGGAGCTTCTAACCATGGCTTATGTACCAATCCCTTCCACAGTAGAGAGTAATTTTGAGGGTTGAAATATTCTTTCCTGGTTTAGTTGGATCAACTTGAAGAGATAAAACATTTTATATAAATTTACAAATGAACACTCATTTACATAGCAGTCATAAATGCCTTTGGGATGAGGAGCATTGATTTAATCCTTAGGCGAACTCAGTGTCTCACATTGCCCCCATGTGGCCATGTTTTTATATTCTCCTGTATGGGTTATGACTCTGCTCAGCCTGAGATTCCTCTTTTCCTTATGCTTAGATTTGGAGTCCAGTCTCCTTTATCCCACCAATGGTTCTCAGCTGGAAATACACCTGGTGAATGTGGCTGTGCCTGCACTGCCCAGCATCCCCTGTGATGTCTCCCCTGTCTTCTTGGATTTGCCGGTGGTGATGTGCAAGACCAGGTATAACTCCCCGAAATAAGATCAGACAGGACAAGTGCTTTGCTTATTTCAGTAGTATTTTGGTGGCAAATGAGAGCCACTCCTGCTGTGGCTGCAATTATTTGCTATAGTCTTTTAAAATGTTCTATGTGAATATGCTTCTTAAAAGGTCCTTATCAAGGCTTAAAGGAGGGTGAGAATATGGTGGAGAATTTTGAGATATTTATAAGAAGGAGCTAGATTGGGTTTCCAGCTATTTAATTTTTTTTTTTTTTGCAAGAAGCTCTATAGTTAATACTAGTAGGATTTCAATAAGTGGTTCCATTTTGCTGTCTAAAGAATCCATCTTTTGAAATAGGCATAATTTTAATGACTGTGCATAAACCCAAAACCAGCTAGAAAGGAAAGTTGCTTTAATCCTCTCAGTGTGTTTGCTGAGTTTGTATAGCATTCCAGGTAATCTATTGTTCTACTCAAGTTTGTGTTGACCTATGAAGTTTATACTATTCATTCTTTCTCTTCTCATGTCTTAGAGATGCTTCATAAAAGTGGGTCATTGGTAGAGAGAAAAAAAAAATGGTCATTTCCTTTCATCTTGTGTTCCTTCCTCCTCTTCCATCTCTCCTTATTGAAATCCTAATCAACCATACTCCAAATGCCACCTTTTCCCTGATCATCCAATTGAGTGTAATCTTTCCTTTCATTGAAAAGGGGACAATTAAGGGCTGAAATCCAGGCTGTGGTTGCAACAGCTTTGAGAAAGGAGCATCTTTTAGTAATTCATCCACAAGGTGTGTGTGTGTGTGTAAATATTTTTGTGAAGGGGGATATTTTTATAATTTACACAAAAGCATAGCATGTGTCGCCCTAGTAGCCCCTTTCTTCAGCCCTATGTTTCTCTGATACTGATGTCAGTTGCCCACTTGTCTGATTCATCCTTATAGAATCAAGTCCTTTGAGGACAGGGGGCATGTTTAACCCCACTTTGGAATCCTTATGGTGCTTAGCCCAATACTTTACAAGTTGAAGATGCTTAATAGATGTCTGTTGAACTGAAATCTTATAGCACTACTATTGGTTTTAACACTGGGCTTTATATTTCCCATAGGTTTTATGATATATTTGAGCATGTATATTCCTGCAAGAACTTGCTGTGAAATAAGTCAAAGCTCAGAAGATTCACTTGTTTAATCTTGTCAGTCCTAACATATAAATAATGTACCATTCATTTTATACCATCTTTTTAGAGAAAAAGAAGTACTAGTTTTTTTCAATGTACTCATTCATTGGAAGATGACTGTCAAGTTCAATTACCATTCAAGTGTAAAATACATATTGTATGATCAATGAAATACTGTCACTCATTATCATGAAAAGACTTATCTGCTCTCACAAAACACGCATTATAACATCTAAATCAGCACTGCCTAATCAAAATGTAACATAAGACACAGATATAATTTAAGATTTTCTAGTGGCCACATAAAAAAGTCAAAAGAAACAAGTAAAATGAATTTTAATAACTCAACATATCCAAAATATTGTCATTTCATATGAGTCAATATATAAATTATTAATGAGATACTGTATATTCTTTTTTTGCATATTCAATCTTCAAAATCCAGTGTGTAATTTACATAGAGCACATCTTAGTTGGGATTAGCCACATTTTAAGAGCTCAATAAACACTTGTGCCTAGGGGCCAACACATTGGACAGTGCAAATTTAAATATTTAAGGTCATACTAAAAGATTTTTGATGAGAAGGTTTGCAAGGGAGGCACTTCATAAAGCTAGCTTCTTATTCATAGTTCCCCTTATACAAATCAACATAAATGGCAGCCTCAAAGAGGCAAAGAAATTGCTGTGATACTCATGAAATTAGGAGAGAAGGTCTGGGATTCTCTCTCTCTCTCTTTTTAAAGATTTATATTGATTTCAGAGAGGAAGGAGAGGGAGAGAGATAGAAACATCAATGATGAGAGAGAATCATTGATCAGCTGCCTCCTGCACGCCCTACACTAGAGATCAAGCCCACAACCCCGGGCATGTGCTCTGACCGGGAATCAAACCATGACCTCCTGGTTCATAGTTTGTTGCTCAACCACTGAGCCACGTCTGCCAGGCTGGGATTCTCCTGATGGAGATGTGAAGTGTGTATGGGATGCTTAGATGATTATGAAGTCAATAATTTTTTTGGCAAAAGGTATAATCAATGCCTTTTATCATAAAGAGCCTAGAATTCAAGCCCCACTTTGTCCTTAACCTGCTGTGTTCACACACATAATCTCTTCATCTAATTGGAACTGTCATTTTTTTAAAAAAAATGGAAACTAGCAATGTCTCTTCCAACGTTTTCAGGACTTTTTTAAAATTTAAGTTACTTTCAATTAAAAAATCATAACCTCTTCTGCTGAAGGATTCAACCTGTAGAGTCTAGTGGGTGAGTGGATATAGGAGGTCAAAAATAGAATACAGGAATCCTTGGTTTATTGTAGAAGACCGAAGAAACCCAAGCGACACTTAGAGAAATGGAGTTACACAGTTTTATTCTGCCGGCGGTCTCAGAGGAGTTGGGAGTTGCCTCCAAAGTCTGAACAAACCAATATGGTGGAAGCCCTTCTTTTATCCCCTTTTGGTTTCTTTGTCCCCCAGATATGGATGGGGACTTCTGGACCTTTTGTGGGCTTTGCAAAAAGCCCTGTGGATTGGGATGGGGGTCTTGAGATCATATCTAAGGGCCTGGCCTGGTGCCAGCGCTGATAACCCCCTCTGGGGGTTGTGTAGTGTTCATGGTTTATGGCCTCTGTAAAATGTGAGCGTTTAGGTAACAGGTCTTGCAAGACCAGTTTGTAGAGGAAAGGGGCAGTGACTTAATTATAGGTTATCAAGAATGTACATTAGATTGCTGGCACAGATTCAGATTGCTAGCCCGCCCAAATATCAGGGTTACATTGGAATTAGCCTTTTAGCTTTCTCAGGTTAGCTCTGCTGCACAGGGGCAGGGAGGAGATTTGAAGTGGTCAGGTGGGGCTGCTAGTTTTGACAATTCAGAGTGTTTGATTCACAAGGATTTCCACTGTCTGTCCTCAGGTCTCTGCTGTCCCAAATACATGAGGGCATGTACCACCTGGAAGTGCACTCTGGGGGACAGGTGGTAGGCAGCCCAACTGCAGGACTACCAGACAGCTGTTCTTTCAAGGTGGGTTCTAAGGATGGAGAAGTGTTTGCCTGGTCTGAGGGTGTGCTTGTGCTATTGACAAGCAAATTATAAATGAGGCAGGGAACCTGCTTTGCCAGGGTAAGAGGAAAGGTGGATGATAGTTACAAGGTTTCTGAGACTACACCAATGAAAGATAAGTATTGAGTGCTGTATATCTTTATGCATGATAATTTAATGATCACAACAATTTTATGGGGTAGCTATTTATTATCCTGATTTTATAGATGGGCAACGTGAGGCTTAGGGGGATTAAATAATTTGCCCATGTCATAAAAAATTTGCCTAGCTTTAAATCGCAGAACTAGGATTTGAACCTGCCTCTGACTCTGATCTGCGCCTAACTGAAGCTCAGAGGAGCCACAAAGATCACCAGTGTGCATCAGCATTTCATTGTACAGCTCCCAGCACTTTGAGTCTCAACGTGGTGAAGGGACCCAGGAACCCAAATTCTACCTCCCTCTCTACCTCAAGATTGATTTCTATACTCTTTCTAACCCTAGAGCAGCGGTTCTCAACCTGTGGGTCGTGACCCCTTTGGCGGTTGAATGACCCTTTCACAGGGGTCGCCTAAGACCATCCTGCATATCAGATATTTACATTACGATTCATAACAGTAGCAACATTACAATTATGAAGTAGCAAAGAAATTAATTTTATGGTTGGGTCACAACATGAGGAACTGTATTTAAAGGGCCAGAAGGTTGAGAACCATTGCCCTAGAGTGAAAGTTTCTCCTTTAAGCTCAGAGCTGAAAGGAAACAGGGAGGGAGAGAGTGAGAGAGGGAGAGAGGAAGAGTTTATGAGCTAATGCTTGACTTATTTTAGAGACTCAATATGCACACTGGGGCTTCATGTTCTGTTTGGTTCAGTGTACTATCCATTTCAGATTAGTTTTACACCAAAATAGACCCTGAAATATAGGTCCCAGACTTCTCATAAAAGGCAGAGCTTTGGCAGTGTTCCTTTTACATGTCCTCCTCATTGGGAGCCTCTGTTTATGAAAGTACAATTCAGTCATTCCTCAGTGCTCCTTTAGAGCAAGACTTCATCCTCTAAATTCTCCTCTAATGTGACCCACATTCGATATAGGCAATTCATTTTTCAATTTTGGAATTTGCTGTCAATTCACATTTACCAACTTGTTTCTCACTCTAAGAGAATCTTCCTTTGCAGAATTTTGCTTCTGCACATAGGCACAGGAAGGAAAAAAGCATTCCCTCTTATTAAGACCCGCATCACCACCTCTAGACTGTCTTAGTGACTCTAACAGAAAAGAGATGGCCGAGCATGCTCCTCAGTCACCATACTGCTTGGGCTTTCACCCCAGCTAGTAGTTTTCCTACTTATTAAAGCTTGGAAAGAAGCAAAAGGGGAAAGAAGAGAAACAGTGCCTAAAATTGCACATTGAAGAAAATAAGTCCTTCACTGGTCCAACCAGCTTGGCGGGTTGATGAAAACTCACCGGGGGATGCAGTTAATGAGAACTAAATAAAACACGGGGGTCTTTTTGTTTTGGGATTGGGACTGGGGGAACCGTGAGTATTAAAAATTAATCCTACCTCGCCGGTCCACTCCAAAGAGCCTGCTGTAGGCACTGACAGGTTCAACAACTCACAGGTTTATCAAGCAGCTGGTGGCTGTGGCTTTGACATTCTAATCCCCTGCTTTTCCTTTCCCTCCCCCGTCCCCCACCTCGCTGATGATCTGATTTAGTCTCAAGGATCAGCATGTGGTCAGCTGGATTTGGAAGCTCATTAATTTTTCACGTTGTCATGTCTCTAGCTTGGTGGGTGACCAGGGGCTTGTTTCTCTTAGAAATGTACCATTTTATGTTGTGTCAGCTCAGAGAGAATCACAGGTGAAGAGTTTTTGGAGGTTGAACTCTGAGCCTGCCCCACCGTGTCTGGGGAATTGAGAGGGGGTGATGAAGGAATTGCTCTACCCGTCCCCCTTCTCCCCCAGCTTCTGGTGGAAGAAAGGCTTATAGTCTAAGTGGTAGATTTTAATATCTCAAGTTGGAAATCAAGAGTTATGTTTCCTTAGTTGATTTGGACTTGGTTGTTCCATTTGCCTCAGTTTCTAACATCCGTGGGGAACAATGACCATTCGTCTATTTCACGAGGCTCCTATGATATAGTCCCAATGGAAGTGACAATGGTATGAAGGGAAAACCGGTGGGAGTTGAAGGCCTGAGTGCAGGAAGAGGTTGGGAGGCGGTGGTGGGGATTATGTGCTTGGCAGGTGTATGTGGAATTAACATTGATCTTTATCTTTGGTGAGATGGAGCCAGCTCCCAACCGGTGAGGTCACTGCATTCTTATTTTGACCCCTGACTCTACATATTTTCTGTGAACTATTTTCTAACTCTTTCCTTTAGAAAGGGAGAAAATTAGTCTTGATGGCAAACGGCACAGCTGTGTGGATCAATACCTAAAATTGCACTTGCCAAGCCTTCAGCAGCTTTGTGGAAGTGTCTGTTGATTCTTGATGTCTGATTAGGGCTGTTGATTAACGAGGGATTACTCTTTGGTAACATTCTCCTCGGGAAGGTGGACTCCTGGGGTGCTGGAAGCACTCCAAGCAAAACAATTTGCTGTCTTTGTTTTGCAAACGGAAAGCAGGGAAGCACTGCAGATTGTGGGGAGCGATCCTGGTGGTTTAGGCAGATAGAGGAGTTTGGGAGAACTGGTCTCATTCTGGGAGAGTCTCATCGTCACACCTTGGCCTGGTCAGTCCATTCTTAATGTTTTACTTCTTATCACTGGCCCTGACTGTGAAACAAATTGATCTGGGACTAAGTCAGATGCCTATAGGCAAGCTAGAACTCCTGGAATTGTCTCATTCGCTCTGCTTCCAGCGGTTCTCAATCTGTGGGTCGTGGCCGTTTTGGGGGGCAAACGACCCTTTTACAGGGGTCGCCTAAGACCATCGGAAAACACATATATAATTACATATTATTTTTGTGATTAATCACTATGCTTTAATTATGTTCAATTTGTAACAATGAAATTGGGGGTCACCACAACATGAGGAACTGTATTAAAGGGTCATGGCATTAGGAAGGTTGAGAACCACTGGCTTAGACAGTATATCCATCATCTCAGATGGGGCCTCTCCATTCACTCACAAAAATTTGAACATCTTCTACCTACCAGGCTGTGCACAGGAATACGACAGTGACTGAGCCAGGCACTGTACCTCATGTGTGAGGTTTATGGTAAGCAGATGAAGTGCTTTGGAGGCACTGCCAGGTACCGGGCTTTCACAGGCTCCCACCTCTCCATCCGTGCTTTTCCCTCCTTGAAGAGTAATGTTGCTTCCCATTCCTTGAATCAGTTGAGCCATTTTCCTCCCAACAGGCACCTTCCATGTTCCCAATAACTACCTTGCTTGTGTGCATCTCCAGCTTCCAATTTTTCGTAGTTTGCTAATTCCCTATCATAATGCTGGCTGGTAATAGTTTAAGTTGCAATTCTTTCCACTTAAATAAACAAATTATTGTGTAGGAAAACACACACACAACCTTTCAAGGCTCCAAAATACCAAGTTACAATAATGGAATGAAAAGGTTGGTATTTAAAAGTGTGGGCTGCCTACCTTTCCTTCTGGTAGAACGTGCTCCTGAGTCTGACAGGTAGTACACTCTTGCCAAAGTTTGGGCAACATGGTACAAAGGTGCGCTCTTATATGACTTTTATTGAATTCCTTTACCTCATCCATGGAAGAGCTGTACTGATATCTGCCACTCCCGTTTTACAGAAATATTACGAAGATAAAAAGAGCTAGATTTAAGGTGGCTTGAGGAAATATACCATTTACTACCTTAGCTGGACGCTCTGTGAGGAATGACTTGTGCTTGTGGTGGTGAGATTCTAATGAATTGCTCACTTGGGGTAACATTTTCTGAACAGTTTTCCAGGGCACAGACACCCATTGTTTACCAAGTGAGTCCACCAAGCGGAGTTCCAGGTAAGACATCTCCTATTAAAATAGAAATACTTGTGAATCCCTTTGCCAATACCTGTTGCAAATTCCTCTATCCAGGTGGGTGGTCTCCCTAAATGGGAAATTCCAGCTTCTTCTGCGATGCTGTTTTGAAAATAAGTGTTGGTCTCTGGTTTATTTTTAACCTGGTTTGTTTTCACCTCTGGGCACTTTTGCTCTATTAGTTCACTGATAACGAAAGGAATCCCAACACGAAAAGAGAGGCAGCAAAATCAAACCAGGTGCTGCCAGAGAATGGAGGAAATGGAAATCTTCATTGCTGTGACTTTGTAACTCGCCACATAATAGCAAAGCTTTATTGAAACTTACTGTGAACCAGGTTCTGTTCAAGCTTTTGGCATATATTACATTATTATATCCTCACAAGAACCTGATGCTGTAGGAACTGTTGTTATTCCCATTTTTCAAATGAGGAAATAGATACCAAAAGGTTAAGTCACTTGCCTAAAGTCATCCTGCTAATAAGTGTACAGCTGAGATTGGAACCTAGATAGTCAGAAACCAGACTGGGCCCATATGCCCAACATTTTGTCCTGTGTTGAGCAATGTTGGATACCACATGAAGATCATTAACCCTGATCCCTTATCCTGGGGGTTTGTGCATGAGTTAGCTCACAGATATGCAAAGGCCAAGAGGCTAGGAGAGAAGGCGAGAAAGCTGGGGGATTAACATTAAAGAAGTGATTGCAACCAAGAGATTCAGGAACCGCTAAACCTGCTTTCAAACGAAGTCGTAAACATAGCTAGGATTATATATAATTTGCTGTTTGATTCTTGGCAAAGCCTTACATGTATTTTAGGTTTTTTAAATTTGTTCAGGGTTTCCAGATGGGAATACAAGTTGCCAAATTTTTATGTGTGGTTGTGCCTAAATGCATAAACTAACTGGTTGTTTTGAATGGCTTGACTGCTCAAGAATGCCAAAATGAGCATCTGAGTTACTAAAAAGTGTTTGTACATCTGTGTGTGTATATATAGGCACAGTTTCAGCTTTACCTTATTAATGCAGTTTATTCACAGATTTGTTTATTTCCATTTGTCTGAATAATCAGCACATGATAATGTTTTATTAAAAAGAGATGTGGTCTATGAAAATCACATGCAGACATTTGGATTCCTGCTGCTCTGGGTTTAGAAAGGCCTGTTTAGACGGCAGAAGAAGTCTTGTTAGGGTGAGGCATGAGGAAGGAGCCAGCCCTTAGAAGTGTGAAATGGGATGTCAGCTGGTACCCAGATCTGTCAAGCCCATTTTTCCCACTGAGTTTGACTTCCACACACTGTCTCCTCCACCTTCTGGGGGAACAATTGGTGACTGACCTGCTTGGAGTGGTCCCTCTGGGCAGGATCCACCCGGCTGCATCTTTGAAATCACTTTCCACACGATTACTCTCATTTCATTTGGGAAGGCTGCCCAGAGTAGCAGCCAGGGAGATGGGGGAAGCGGTGGGGACAGGAGAGTCGATGTTTTATGAGCAGTTGAATTTCTATATGTGGTTAACAGTCGTTTACTGTGACGCAGAATCCTCCAGCCTCACAGTCTGGCTTAGCCATTTGTCAGATTCGGTTGGTCTTTCTCTCTCTGTTTAGAAATAAAACAGAAACTCACAAGAATTCTTAACTTCTACAGCCTGTTAGTAGTTTTTAAAATTATGCTCATCAAAGCTAGAAATCATGTCCACCAAAGTCAGGACATCAGTAATTGAGCCCTACTAAAATGAAGGAGAATTATTTTGCCAGTTGTTGGCAGTAGCAGAGACCTTCAGATAATAGGCTTTTGCCAACTCTCTGACCTTTGCCTAAGTCATTAGGTTTCCTCTCTTTCTACCCATTCACCTGTGAAGTGGCGGTAATACTTCCTGGAAGGTTCTCATTGTTTCAATACAGTCATCTACTGTGAAGGTGACAATTACATGGTAATGTTCTTTCAAGGCCACTGAAGTCCTCTGAATTCAGTGACCTCATGAACCCTATAGGTGCCCTTCTCTTTTCTATTTTATTTATTTATTTATTTTATTTATTTTTTTTTTTATTTTTTTTTTGATATATATTTTATTGAGTTTTTACAGAGAGGAAGGGAGAGAGATAGAGAGCTAGAAACATCGATGAGAGAGAAACATCGATCAGCTGCCTCCTGCACATCTCCCACCGGGGATGTGCCCGCAACCCAGGTACATGCCCTTGACCGGAATCGAACCTGGGACCTTTCAGTCCGCAGGCCGACGCTCTATCCACTGAGCCAAACCGGTTTCGGCTCTTTTCTATTTTAGAAGTTTTACCTCCCGACCCAACACGTCTCTCATGTGTAAACATGGTAGGTGATGATGAAAGATGACAGCATCGATGGTTAAATTCTGTAATTCTTTGAAAGGCACATTCTTCCAGGTTGGGGTTTGCGTGGTGATCTTTATTTAACATCATAACCTCGCTGTGATGTATTTGCTTAAAAGTTGCCTCCTGCAGGTCCACAGAACTGAGTTTAGCTGTTTTTCAACTATGGAAGTGACCAGCTCATGTAGGGCCCCCGAGCTCTTTCTGAGAAGGGGCTACTTTAGATTTCTTCCCCTACTCCTAGAAGCAGAGGGGCTAGGGGTTGTACTGAAGTGTGCCTTGCTGAAAGGAGACCACTGATGCCTGCAACTTCATTCATCTTATGAACTCAACAGAGGGGAGTATTAAGAAAAAACTTAATACCCAATGGAAAGCCCTGCAAGTCACATAGAGGAAACCTGGCAGACGTCACCCATGTTTCAGCAGGCAAGGCACACACCAGCTGTTTGTGGATCCCCAAATTACCCTACTTGAACATGAGCACATTAATGAAATGAACAAGACATGTGACTGTCCATAATTCTGCTGCCATCTCATGCCCTTTCTTTTAGTTCCTGTCAATTTGGGTCAAACATGATATTTATCTTTTGTACTCTGAGATATGAAAAAAAAGTTTAGTATCCCTGAGTACCCATCCAGGTGATAGGAGCCTCCTCATATCACAGGAGTTCATATTAGCAAGTGTCCAGAGGAAAGTCTCATGAAGCGTGGAGCAGCCCGAGGCATGCTGTTCTTCAATCCCACATTGGGTGGATGGCCTACACACAGGCAGGCAAGTAGAAAGGAGCCATGTACAGAAACCGGCTGCTCCTCTTGAAAGCTTCATGCTTCATGGGACTGTGAGGAAGGCCCACTATTCCTTCTATGCAGGAAGGACCAACTTGGCCATATTGAAATGTATAAAAAATACAGTTTATGTTATTCTTTTAGAGTTTGAGCTAAGTATATCCAATTTTTAAAAATCTTCTCCACTAAACAGGACAACTAATACATGTGCATGGCTGGATTATCACTGGACGATTGGAAACCTTTGATTTTAATGCTGAGTACATTGATAGGTAAGCATGTGTTTCTTTTGACGTACGACTAGTTACAAATATGCTGTATTGCTTCCTGGGGCCGGCTTCCCTGATAGCAATAAATTGTAAGCAGTTGGCACAGAATTACTATTTTCCCTCTTTGCAGTTTATGGTCCCTGGTGAGCTGGGCTTCAGCAAACTTTGCTAATGTAATTGCGACTGGTCGATTAAGTTTGTCCATTTATTTACTGACAACTAGTCACTCTGGGCTCAGTGTGAATTATACTGTAATTGCATCTGTGGATTTTCTTTTTCCATTCTTCCCCTTCCCCGTTTTGTTCCTCAGGATGAACTAAATTCTTTATAAAATGATGTGTGAACCCAAAAGACCATTAACTTCCTTGCTTGGTTGCTCTCCGTTTGTGCATTTAGAAATTCTATTAGTGTGATCAGAGGAAATACGGAAGAAGGTACTGCAAGCCATTGAGTCTTTAATGTTTTCTGGGAGTGATTAGGATGTCAACATGACTTTTTCTATTGGAAGTTTTAAAAAAATGGAATGTGATACTACTAAGTAATTCATACCAGAAAGAGAGGAGACTAAGAGGGGAGCGTTGAAGGTGGTTATTTAACCTATGAAGCAATTACAGTGAGAGTTTACAAAGTAGAAGGCACATACTCTTACTATGTGCTCGGCTGAGCCGATCCTGTATACTGTGTCTAGTTTTTCCTTCACCCCCTGGACAGGGTGGGCCATCCTCCTCTGTTCCGCTTCCTCTCTTTGATTCTTCCCTAGTTGAAGAGAACGGGACTCGAGTACTCTCAAGATTTACATTTCTGGCATTCAGTAATGGTCAACTTGTCTTAAAAGGAAATTAATTTTCCTGTGGAAGATAGAAGCCCAAAGCACACCATTGGCAATATGCCTTATTCACTACTTGGTTCCATTTTAGCCTTGGTCTGGGAAGCAGTCTTTGAAAGCGGGAGCAAAGGCATAAACTCCTCTATAGCTTTATGTAGACCCACTGTAGCCAAAGTGGAGATGATGAAGCTTCTTTTTCGGGGGAGAAGAAATGCTCCCTCTGCAATGTGAGAGGATGAACCATGAGACAGTTTTGTGCACCCCTACCTTCAGGCTGAGAACTTGGTTCAACATGTCCTCAGGGGACAGACTTCACCCACCTGCAGGAATACTCCATAAATCCACAGGAGAATGTTCACAACAATGTTTTGTCTGAGTTTTGCCTGGAATGCTTGCTGGAAGCATTGCATACTATTGTCTCTTGTCTGCCCCCAACCCCCTTTTTTTCCCAGCCCATTGATCTTGGAAGCTCAAGGAGACTACTGGGTCACTCCTTGCTCTCTTGTAAATAGGCAGACTGGAAGCAGGTGAGTGTTTTTCTTGCCAGTATATATGCTTTTAGGTTCTTCCACCTGGGTAGAACACACACACACACACACACACACACACACACACACACACACACACACAACTCTTTTTAAGTACAAATGCCCATAATTGTGGAATGCTTTGTCTTTAGACTCTTTAGTAATTAATTCAAAACGCAAATTGAAGTGATTCTGAAACCTTTCTTGAAAACAATAGCTACTCTTCCTAGTGCTTACGGTAGGCCATGCCCTGCTCCAATGCTTTACGGTTAAGCCACTCAGAACCTCGTGAGTAAATATAGTTATTAGTCTCACTTGATAGCTAAGGAAACTGAGGCACAGAGAGGTTAAGTAACTTGCCCAGTGTCTCACAAAGAGAAGGTGGCAAAGGTAGGATTTGAACTCTGGCTGGCTAACCAGCCTCTAGAGTTCGTGCTCTTAACCACTATACTGTAGTGACCAGCTAAAGAAAGCAACTACTATATATATTTATTTATTTCAATGACTATTTTTAAAATGTGTGTCTACATACTTACAGTCCAGATAACCAACATTTTTGCTGGATTTTCACTTTACTCTAGACCAGCGGTTCTCAACCTGTGGGTCGCAACCCCTTTGGCAGTCGAACGACCCTTTCACAGGGGTTGCCTAAGACCATCCTGCATATCAGATATTTACATTATGATTCATAACCGTAGCAACATTACAGTTATGAAGTAGCAACGAAAATAATTTTATGGTTGGGTCACAACATGAGGAACTGTATTTAAAAGGCCAGAAGGTTGAGAACCACTGCTCTAGACTAAATGGATTAACCTCCCTTTGAGGTCATCACAAAAATTATACTCTATGGCGTAGCTTTTTGGAATAGCATTTAGTAGAGCCAAATTCTATAATGTGGTTTCTTCCTGGTGTCTTAAATTTGTCTGCCCAGGACAAACTTTTTTGAGTTCACTCCTGCTAATAGATTTTTTAAAATAAGAATTTTGCTATCCTTGTCATAAAAGAGATTTTGGAAAGACAGGACTGAATGGAGGGAGTAAGTAAAATGTCTCTCACACTGTGTTTTTGACTGGTGGCACATGAGATGACAACCCTAGTTAGTGGTGCCCTAAGCATCTGTCCCAATGACTTCGTTATGCTTTTAATATCTACCAACTTTCTCTGGCTAATTTGCTATTATTATTATTATTATTATTATTATTATTATTATTGCTTTACTTTTATGACTAAAGGGTTAGAACTTCTGAACTGAGTTGTCTGGGAATTGTCACCTCAGGTGTTTGGTTCTTTCCCTAGCTACCCCCTTCAGGAAGACCATGGTCTTGGCACTCTGCAGTGCTGTGTGGAAGGCAACTATATTGGTATGTTTGCAAAGTATCGGCTTTAAAGTCTTATTCATTTCTTTCTCTATATGGGGAAAAAAACTACTTCAAGCATTGGTTCTCATGAGGATGATAATAGTAACTACCATTGTTGAGAACTCCCTACAAACCCTATATAGATTCCCGGTCGGTGTGGCTCAGTGGTTGATCATCGACCTATGAACCAGGAGGTCATGATTCGATTCCCGGTCAGGACACATGCCTAGGTTGCCGACTCGATCCCTAGTAGGGGCCAGTCAATTATGATTCTCTCTCATTGTTGCTGTTTCTATCACTATCTTCCTCTCCCTTCCTCTCTGAAAACAATAAAAACAAAACAAAAACCATATGTAAAGAAGTTTTAATATAAACTAATATCATCCTCACAATAAACCTGTGAGATTGGTGGAACTATTTTCACTTTAAAGGTGATAAAGTGAAGGTAGTAATCAGTGGAGTAGGATTTCTCAGTTGGTCTGACTTTAAGCCTGAACTCTTACCTGCCACCCGCTAATACATTTCTCCTTTTATTGGTGGATGTTGCTGATGGAGCAGAGATGCGATGTGTATATTTTGGGCACCATTGAGGAAATTACTGGTTTGGGTCATGGCTTGATGATATCTGGAGTCCTTGGGGTAATGACAGCAATGGCCTGGCCCAGGTGATTCATGCAGATTCCTGTATTAATGTCTGTTTTTGTTTGTTTGTTACAGGTTCCCAGAATGTTAGTTTCTCAGTATTTAACAAAGGAAAGTAAGTAAGTGGGAGGAACCAAATTTATCATCATTTGTATTATCTTTCTCTTGTCTTGCTTCCTTTCTTTAACCTTGTATAAAAATTTTCAAACATACATGAACAGAATAGAATGATAAAACCATGTGTACCCACTTGATCTCTTTTATTTGGGTAGATAAAATTGATTCCTTTGCACTCATCTTGAAATAATGTAAATATTTTAATGTGATGATGGTCAGAATTTTGGGAATTACCTCATGAGTAATCTCATAGCACTGCAAATTTAAGATAGTACACAAAATTTTAAATACATTGTGCCATTCAGGAATTTCATGATGGGAAGGGTACAAATTTCATAGAGGTATGGAGAGATAAATTAAAATTTTAAATTTCTTTCTGCATGACTTACCTCATGTTCTGTCACTATATAATTTGGCAGGTATTTTCCTTAAAAACACATTGTCTAAATAATGTTGATTTCATTGTTATGATGGTGACATGTTACTCTCAGCTACACAGTCCAAAGTATGGGTATTCTCTGTCTCTCTCTGTCTCTCTCTCTCTAAGTTAGGAAGGAATAAAACTAATATTCATTGAGTATCTCCTATAGGCCAGCTCCATATCAAGCCCTTTCACATTCATCATTTCATTTCATGCTCTCAATACTCTGTGAAATTGGTATTATTCTTCTCATACAGTCACTGTCTAGATCAGAATACTTTGCCCCGTTGGTATAATTCTCTAGTCATCAAAAGGAGCTGATATTTAAACTGTTCTAAAGATTATTGGAGGTTAGTTCACAATCTTCCTTTTAGGCAGCCAATCAAAAAAAAATATGCCATTTCAGATGCTCTATTCATCTAAAACAATTTTGTCTTTTTTAAAGGTCAATGGTCCATAAGAATGCATGGCTGATCAGTGCTAAACAGGACCTTTTCCTGTATCAGACATACTCAGGTACTAGTCCCTTCACGCTATACTCCTCACTCCTTCCCTCACACCTCACTGAACCGTGGGCCCTCCTTCCAAAGTTCTTAGTGCTAGAAAGTGCAGGTCTAATTCTAAATCTTATGCGTGTAATTAATATACTATGGGAAGTATACTCTCCTTGCCACCCACCCCAAAAGCTTTTGTGAGTCGGCCCATCAATATTGAACCTTGATTATCAGGTAGGCTGGCAGGTATCTCTGATCACATAACTATTTCATATTTCAAGCACCAATATCTTCTTGTGATGTGGACTCTCAGGCCAGAACTTCCTCATAGCAGAGCAGGCTGTTATGCAAAGAGCCCAAGGCTGACCTCCTTTATCGCTGGCATTAAATTACTAGTTGAGTTTGGTTAAGTCATTTAGCCTTTCTGAACCCCAAACAAACATCTATAAAGTGGACAGGATGGTGCTTGTCCTTCTAACTCCATAAATTGTTGATGAAGCAGATGAGTTTGGGATTCTCTCATCTCCACATCAATTCAATCACCAATTTCTACCAATTTTATCTGCCATATATTTCTTAAATATGACGTATCCACTCTGTCTCTACAACCATTGCCTTAATTCAGGATTCCATCATTTCTTGCCTGGCATGCTGCAGTAGTTCCTAAGGGGCCCTGACCTGCCATTTGTCCCTGCTGATCCATGCTCTGCATAGCCACCACCGTTCACACATCTGATGCCTCTCCCCTGCTTACCATCCACCTCCAAAGGCTTCTCATACTCTGACCTCTTCCTTGTCTGTTTCTCCATCTCTCTCTCTCTCTCTCTCTCTCTCTCTCTCTCTCTCTCTCTCCCTCTCCCTCTCTCTCTCTCTCTCTCTCTCTCTCTCTCTCATTCCAGCAACTCTTAAATTCACTGTGCACCCCTTCACCTGGCCAGTTCTAATTCGTCCTTTAACATTCACTTTCTACTCTACCATACCCTCTCCCCTCACGTAAATCTCTCCTGGGCACTTTCCTATTCTCCCTCTAATTTCACTAGCCCAAGATATAATAATTATACTTTTGTGTACCTGCCCTTCCTTATTCTTTTGATCTCCTTGAGGATGGGGACTATTTTGTATTCATCTTTATATTCCTTGTGCTGCATCATATGTGCTCTGTGAATGTTGAAAAGAATTATAAAATAGTAGATGAAAAGAAGGAGGTTATTAGTGTTGAATTTTGATACTTGAGTGTGGAGATCCATCTTTGCCCCCACATATCTCCTCTGCTTTGTCTCATGGACCAAAGTGTTATCTAGGAGATGCCCTGATAAAATTCATATTTGGAAGTGGTACTTTCAATTTATCATAGATCATGGCTCCTCTTTCCCCTTGAGGGAATAAAATTTAGAACTGTCCAAGTTTGATCATAGAAGAGCAAAGGATCAGGGAAAGTGAAACTCCTAGGGATATGTGACATGTTCTTGTAGGGTTTTGAAGCAATCAGGAGACAGCATGAAAATGGGTGTGAGGTGGTAAGTGCGGGGAGTGAGGGGGTAGGGAGGTGAGGGGATGGGTTCGGGACATGCAGTAAGGGGACGAGTGCAAGGATACTGAAGACAGTGTGATCCATTCCTTTGCTTAGAGCAAATTCAGACTCATGGTTAAACTGAGGCCTTGCATGGTGCATCCAAAGGTGATTCCTGCATAAAGTATAACCTCCTGTTTTGTGACTTGAGGCTGGGAGAGAGATTTCCTAAGAAAGCATCATGGTATGTAGGTATTTTAGCTCAGAGCCTGAGTGACTGCATTTCCCTTTCCTTTCAAATATTGCTCCTGTTTCATCCCAAGAATCCATTCCGGCCCTGGCCAGTTTGGCTCAGTGGATAGAGCGTTGGCCTGTGAACTGAAGGGTCCCGGGTTCGGTTCTGGTCAAGGGAAAATACCTGTGTTGCGGGCTCGATCCCCTGTAGGGCACGTGCAGGAGGCAGCCAATCGATGATTCTCATCATTAATGTTTCTCTCTCTCTCCCTCTTCCTTCCTCTCTGAAATCAATAAAAATATATATTTAAAAAAAAATATTGCTCCTGTATAATATATGTTATCATACATATTATTATGTGTGAGTCCTTTTTTATTTTCTGCATTTTAAAATGACTGTTACTAGAAAAGATTTCAACTGTTTCTTAGTCTTAGAAAGTTACGGTAGGACATAAATTATTGATAGTTTCTGTTGTATTATTATCTGGGTCACATCCTGGTCTATATTTGGAAGCTTACTTTTTTTTTTTTTTCTCTTGCAGAAATACTGTCTGTGTTTCCAGAAACTGGGAGCCTTGGGGGAAAAACAGACATCACAATTACAGGAGACTTCTTTGACATCCCTGCCCAGGTCACCATTGCAGGTACCTAAGTTGAAATGGCTGAAAATAGTTCACAGTTTTAAATGCTGTAGGAGATTATGTGTCTCTTAGGGCATTGAGAGGGTATGGGGGAAGCAATCTTTGTCTCTTCTGACTCATCGTGCTACCCCGCTCTCATATTATACCTGTGTTTGGTTGAGATCATGATCCTGTAGCTCTGCTACACGTAACAGGAATAGGATGTCCTCAGACACACTCACAATTCATGGGCAATTCCCTCGGGTGTCCCCATCTTGGGAGTGAAGGGAGAGAAAAACGTATAGCTGCCTCTTCACAAAGGTCTGCACCTACTAATAGGCAACCCTTCCCCTTCTCCCTACTTAGCCCTCTCTGCGTGGACAGGCTGGAGTGGGCAGGAAATTGCTCTGCAGATTGTTCTGGAATGCCCTATGGCAAACTCGTGTGTGGAACCTATCTAGAACCTTTAGTTATGCTAGGTGGATGCTCCTCTAGGTGGTGACACCAAGATGCAGGAAAATGCCCTTACACTCTCACGTCACACGTTCCCCAAGCTCAGCTGAGGGGTCAGTACACCCTCAGTGGATGGCACTGCGTTGCTTTCTTTCGGATTTTTATAAGCTGCCCTGTGCTCTACTGCCCTGTACTCTCCCTTTCCTGGCCTCCTTCAGTGGGGGTGACAAGTTTTGCTATACTATTTACATTCAGCCCTGTGCCTTAGAATAGGAGCCTGGCTACTTCAGTGTGGTCCTGTGGGCTTGCCATCAAATTCTATGTATCTATCTCTCTAACCTATAAGTATATCTAATTTTAAAAATTCTCCTCAGGCATTCCATGTGATGTTAGACACGTGTCTCCCACGAGGATTGCGTGCACCACTAGGGCCCTGGAAGAAGGTGCAAGGCTCACTGCTCCGCAGGCAGGTAAGGAGGCCACCAGGGCTGGTCAGTGACCTTCGGTTACATTTTAGCCAGGATGGGCTTGGAAGTAGGAATGAAAGTGTTGGCGTTCTGTCTCAGCTTTTGACTGGTTGCTCAGTGAGCTCTGGGTCCATGATACCACTGTCAGGGCTTTCCTCTCAGAGTGGCTCTTAGCTTTATTCAGATTCTCATCAACATTGCACTCCTGGCCCCAGCCAGATGGACTGCCAATGGGGTTCAGTGGAGACCACGATCCCAGAAGCATAACTGCAATCAAGTCATTGTTATCCGGGAGCATTAGAGCTTGCTCAGGCCAGAGAGTGGGGCACAGTGGGTGCACTTAAATGGTTGTTTCTTCTCTGAGGCACCTGCCTGTGACTGAAAAGTAGGGCTGTGCTGTGCCATTGCCGCCAAGTTATGGTTGAAGTGGGCAGAAATGAAGAAGGCGAAGATCCCCCTGTCCTTCTCTGTTTAAAGCTTCCACCTCATGGCTACAAATGGAAAGCACACAACTGGGGCACTTTTCTGGGAAGCATTAGGACTGGAGGCTCAAGTGTAGCTAGGGATGGGGGCAGCTGGCGTCTTACACAGCCCGGAATGGCAAGCTGCCGCCTGTATTCCTCGCCTGCCCCGCATGGCTGACTTCCTGGTTAAACTCCAGGCAGTGAACTCACTTCCAGGATCTCAGCATTTAGAAGGTAGAAGGCAGAAGGTGGAGAAACCTTTCTAAAGAAAGGCCATTTGGGTGTGAAAATGCATGCAAAGCTTTGGCTGGGCCTTCTCCACGTCCCAGATCTGCAGTTTGTACTCAGGGAAAGCTCCCATCCAAGGAAATCACCGAAGCAGGTGCTGGAGAGAATGTGTCCTTTGTCAGGAAATGGAGAATTGTCCCCTCTTTGAGGGGTTCCTGCCTTAGCTACTTGGGTAATGGTAGGATAATTTCCTGAATGCAGCTGTTCTTGAGGATCAACAGTGCCCTTTATGAAGATGCTTGGAAGTTCCTTCTGTGGAAGTAGAGCAGACTATTATGTAATGCAGCGGCTCTCAATGGTCCGCAGGGGACGTTTGGTAATGCCTGGCAGTTACAACTGGGAAGGTGGTGGTGCTGCTACTGGCCACTAGTGGCTGGAGTCCAGAGGTGCCACTAAACATCCTTCAATGCACAGGACCCCCTACACCCAGTTATCCAGCCCAAAGTGCTGAGGTTGAGAAACCTCAAGGAATATATCAAAATATGCTCTTATTTTTCTACTTATTCCTTATCATTTCCCCTTTTAAAGATTAATGAGGAGTAATAGTAGTAGTTTAAAATAATAACTACTGTCACTGTCCTTTATTGAGTACTCAGTATATTTTAGACTCTTTGTGTATATAGTTCAAGCACTCTTAGTCTTTTTTTTTTTTGGCCAGAATTGTCAATTTACCAAGTTTCCTCCCAAGCTTTATTAAGATATAATTTACATATAACTCAAGCTTCATTAGTCTTTTCTGCACTATCTCTATTTATTATTGGCCCCATCCACGAGAAAATGGAGGCATCAAGCAGTTTGCTCAAAGCTGCACATTTAATAGGCAGCAGAGCTGGCATCTGAACCCACAAATATGTGATTCCCAAGCCTTTACCCTCAATCCAAGTTTGTATCCAATATTGATTACACATGGGCCTTTGGTCTTAGTGTTCGCTTAAAATAAAACACAAATTAATGAGTACAACATCATTGAAAATGTCTCTTAATAGCTGCATGTCACATGATTTGTTTTATGTGCAGATTCACAAACTGAGGCCATGACATGAGAAAAATGTAAGGGTTGCCAATTTTCTGAGGAATAAAAAGATCTCAGGGAATACAACTCCCAAGCTGGATTGGACATTAAAAGATGCTGAATCCACTCCTCAACCGTCAGGTCCCAAGTACACGATCACATCTTCCCCTTTACTCCACCCCAGTTTGCTTGCTTACATTTTCTCTAGGACTCGGGCCTCTTCTCCAGACACTCTCATTAAAAAAGACTCCCTACTCTTCTCTGGTCCTCTAAAAGTATTTCCCCTTACCGTTCCTCATCCACCCTCTCTCCAAGAGGCGAAATCCCACCCCAAGCAATATTTACTGCTTTGCAGAACATTAGTATCACCTATAGGACCTCTCCCATGCCCTTCCCACCTGGGTCTCAGTTGACTCACCTTTCTAGTTAGTACCTGGATCATCTTTACTCTGTTGTATGCAGTAAAGCAGTTCCTCAGTTTGGGTATTTATGAAGTATACCTGTCTTCCAGGCAACCGGGGGCTTCTTTTTGAGGTTGGAGATGCTGCTGAGGGCTTAGACCTGACTGAAACCACCCCTGGGTACAGGAGGCAGATTGTTCCTAACGCCAGTTCTCCATTTGGATTTTGGTCAAAGGAAGGGCAACCTTTCAGGTATGTTGTGGGAAAAGTGAGAGTCCGTGTCCAAAGCATCTTTAGGAGACAGATAAGTAAACTATGAGGTTTCCAGGATAAAATTTATAATGTCCACCAATTTCACAACAGAGTTTGATCATTGTTATTTACTGGTTTTGGTCATACTAATGTACTGTAGGTCTTTTATAGGTGCATGCTAACTTTAAAGAAATATATTTTTATTGATTTCAGAGAGGAAGGAAGAGGGAGAGAGAGAAAGAAACATCAGTGATGAGAGAGAATCATTGATCAACTGCCTCCTGCATGCCCCACACCAGGGATTGAGCCCACAACCTGGGCATGTACCCTGACTGGGAATCGAACTATGACCTCCTGGTTCATAGGTTTACGCTCAACCACTGAGCCACGCAGGCTGGGCAGGTGCATGCTAAATTTTGAACAATCGATAAATTTCATACTTGATACAACTTAGTTTACAATTTGATTTGGAGATGACTATTAATTGGCATATTGAGTTGAGTAGGCTAAGAGACTTAAGCGAGAGCAGGGTAAAATTTGCTGCGGGTACGGGTACGTGGTTAAGACATGAAACTCACATTCGGATGATGCAGAAGAAAGATGCCAGCATTTGCCCATTGGTCATATGAGGGAGCAAAGGCTGGAGCCTTAGGAGACATTGTTTCAGTAGTAGTGACTGCAATGTGATTGTGGCTTTGAATCTTTTTAACCCCTGCAAGGATATTGCCAAAATTTCTGGTTCTCCAAAGTGGGCTTAAAAGTATAAAAAAATGAGAATTTCTTAGACACACTGTTTCCTTAATGTACTCCCAATGTATATATAGAAGCATGGATCCTCACTGTGTTATCCTTTATCTTTTGAGAGAGGCTGGTCATGACCCTGAGTGTGAGTTGGAGCCATTCTGTGAGCTCCTCCAAGGATTTGGCCATACTCATTGTTAATTCAGTTGTGGAATGAAAAGCTTTTTCCTGTTCAGGGAATTTCAGACATTGAAGAAGCCAAGTAGGAGGGAAATCTGTGAACAGAATCGAGTTTCTGTTGTCCTGGAAGTCTTACTAACTAGGCATTTAACCACCAATATACGGTTTTAAAGTAGCAATAATCTGTGGTCCTTTATGGCACCTAATTCATCTTTGTTATCCTTTTTGAGGCCCATCAATGATGTTCAAAGGAAACCTTTTAACTATAGTTAGTGTGTGGAGTGGTAAGGAAAGAGTCAAACCACCTCAAAAGACGACCTATAGGGTATGTCTCTTTAACTGCTATTTTGAGGAGCCATAAACCAGAGAGTAACTCTTCTTTTATGTCATTAATTTCTTTAAAATTCAAAAATGTTTAGAATTGGAATATTTATTAATTGATAAATTAATTATATTGATGGACCTTTAAAATAGTTATTTTCAAAACTATTTCAGAATATACTTTAAAAATATAATTTTTATTGATTTTAGAGAGGAAGGGAGAGGGAGAGAGAAACATCAATGATGAGAGAGAATCATTGATCTTCTGCCTCCTGCATGCCCCCATACCAGGGATCAAACCTGCAACCTGGGCAAATGCCCTGACCGGGAATCGAACTGTGACCTCCTGGTTCATAGGTTGACGCTCAACCACTGAGCCATGCTGCCTGGGCTCAGAAAATATTCTTGATATTTATTGGGGTAGTGTAATAATTCTCTTATCCATATATTAAACATTGTAACATTGTTTGCAATCTGATGTATTCTAATTTAAGATCGCTAACATGTTCAGTTGACTCTTCTCTGTGGACAGTAGCCTTTTAAATTGGGAAAAAAGACTCTTTGCAGGTATTGGGGTATCTGGTAAGCTCAGAGCAAATACTTTTGGTTTTGTGTGTGAAATATTACCTAATTAGTAAACCCCCAAACAATTGAAAACAATTTACTGACCACCTAGATTCAGTACTGTGAGTGTTAGAAGGTCTTGAACAAGGTCCTCGTCCTTGTGGAGTGACCACCCTTGTCACGCACATGTACAGCCAAAGAGCAAGGCAAGACGGCATGCACTGAAATTCCTCAGTGTACCCACGTGTGTGTCCTGATCTTCTCATTCAGTTCACTTGATACATATTGAGTTATTGCCATGTCTCAGGCCTTCTAGGATCAATGACTTCATGAGACACAACACTGAGGAAGTATTTCAGAGTTAGTTTGCAGATGAGGAACTGTGGTCTCCAGTAGGTAAAGTGGTTTTTCTAATATTGCACAATTATCAAGTGGCAGAACCAAGTTCTGAATTTTTCTGACTTCAAGGCCTATAATTTCTCCCTAAATTCACCTAAGCCACATTAGGGCACATGTCCCTCTTTCCCCATGGGAATATGGTTTATAAAAGGACACACTTGAATGTCAAACCCTACATAAACGAACACCTGTTTCTAGGAAGTGAATGTCTGCACGAGGGAGAGGAAATGGAGCGAAGTCCCTCTCGATATCTATCATTTTGGGCCATTTCAGGTCTATCACTTTACTCATAAAGAAATGCACAGTATCATCTAGAAGTCAAGATTATTTGGGAGGAAACATTCTAGCTAATGTATGATTATCCCCATACACGGACAGCTGCACAGACTGAATGTAAGGTGGCTAATGTGTGACTTCAGCCAGAGGGGTGATCTAATATAGCTTCTGACATACGAATGTGCTAGAGATGGAGACAAGGAACAAGGGTTCCAGATCAAGTCAGAGCAATTCCTGATCAGTGATCTCCCTTTCTTTCTAATAATAAGCATAATGTTTACTATTGATTGAACTCCTACCAGGGACCAGACCCTGCACTGCTGCGTGAGGTAGGTTCTCAGCAAAGCCTCCAGACAGCCTGATGCTGGGGCTTCCACTTTCCCAAAGAGGATGTGACTGCAGGGGAGCTGTGGCTGGTGTGAAAGGATGGGTTGAGATATTGAGACTAGTTGGGCGCCACAGCTGTTTCCAGAGTACAGTGGCCAATCCCGTGGCACAAAAGTCAAGTGTTTCCTCCTCATTACCATAAAGAAGAACAAAGTACAGGCGGAACTACTTGCTGGGTCAGCGATTCGGGCCTTGGTTGCTTTCGCTTGACCCTGTGTTCCTCTGCGTTACAGAGCACGGCTCAGTGGATTCTTTGTGGCCCCAGAAACAAATAATTACACTTTCTGGATCCAGGCGGACAGCCAAGCTTCCCTGCATTTCAGTCCGTCAGAGGATCCTAGGACCAAGGTATTCGCCTTCTTCTCATTTTCCTTTTCCTGTCCCCAGTCCTTCACTCATAAAAAAAATAAATAAATAAAAAATCTAAAACTAAAACTCTCATGTTCTACAAATAGTTGTAACACACCATTAGGCAAATATAGAGTCTTTTTGATGGGGGGGAGGGGTTCATTAGAAACGTTTTTAATTGAGATATAATTGACATGCCTTTAATTGTTGAAAACAAATTTGGTTGAATGTGTTGGCATCTACTGTTTATTGAGCACTTACTGTAGGCTGGGCATTATGCTACATTTTTTATATGCCTTGTCTCTAATTTTCACAGCATTTCTGTGAGCTATGTCTATTTATTTCTATTTTTCAGATAAGGAAATTGGGATTTAGAAGGATTGTATGGTCAATCCAGGGCCACTTGGGATCATAAGAGCTGTATTTAGGATTCAAACCCCAATTTTTTCTTACTCCAAAGTTTGCGCCTTGCCCCCTAATTTTGGGTAGGGATATAATCAGTCTTCTGTAGGAATTTCCCCATCAGTTTTGAAGGGTAAGAAAAGTTTATTTTAACAAACAGCCAAATTCACTAGTGCTATTGATAAGGAACCAAAAGATCTCTTTTCAAGTTATTAATATACTTCTATTAAATTAAGCATATTAATTGCTAGTTGGCTAGAGGAACATTTTAGATTTTGATGTGATCACTCCTTCTGCATTTCTTTTTTTAAAAAATATATTTTATTGATTTTTTACAGAGAGGAAGGGAGAGAGATAGAGAGTTAGAAACATCGATCAGCTGCCTCCTGCACATCTCCCACTGGGGATGTGCCCGCAACCCAGGTACATGCCCTTGACCGGAATCGAACCTGGAGCCTTTCAGTCCGCAGGCCGATGCTCTATCCACCGAGCCAAACCGGTTTCAGCCCTTCTACATTTCTTGAAGGGCTTGGTAGTGCTTTATCCGCAGCATCACCTAAACACAGGGTCTCAGACTGGCTGTTCCTGCTCTAAAGGTGGCCCATGCAGCCTCTCCTCAATACTATTCAATTGAGAAAAAGAGGGGGAAGGAGGGGTGCAGAAGCATAAACAGCCACAAGCCTCACTGTGGCTTGGCTAACTAGTTGGAAAAGGCAGACCAGTCCTCAGGTCCTTGTTAATAGCTGACCAGACACTTGCTGTTGGAGAAGGAAATACTCAGAAGCTCCACAGTGCTGACCGTGATATGTTTATTGGGGCACAGGTGAAGGTGGCCTCCATCAGGGTGGGCACCGCTGACTGGTTTGACTCCTGGGAGAATGGGAATGATGAAGGCACCTGGCAACGGAAGTCCCCTAAGTTGGAGCTGCTCGGGGGAGCCAGGTACTACCTGGAGGCAGAGCAGCGTGGGAGAGCCCCCAGCGGGGGCATGAGAATTGGTGTCCAGATCCACAACACCTGGCTGAATCCCGATGTGGTCAGCACCTACCTGCGGGAGAAGCATCAGATCCGAATCCGCGCTCGGAGACTTCCGGAGATCCAGGTCTGCATGCCTTCCCCGTCCCATGGACGTAGGGTCAGGGCCTGAGTTCCGGAAGAGATATAATGGGGCCTAGTGGAGGATCACTACCTGGGAGCAGAAAATTTGAGTTGTAATGACCACTCTGCTGCCAGAGAAAAGGATATGTATCCAACAGGGTTGTGAGGACGTTTAAAAAAATGCAAAGTCTTGCTATTGAGATGACTTTATTCATGGACTTAGTTTCAGGAATTTAAGGTCCAGATAAATATTCTCTTGGAAACTTACTCCTTAGAGAAGAGATGAGGTCCTCTGAACACCCACACCCACACCCACGTGTGCATGCTAAAGCATGTGCACCCGAGATTTCATAGCCTTTTGACTATGTTTTCCCTATTGGCTGTGTTTTCTGAGTCTACTTTGTAAAGGTCAAGGCCTTTGGGTCTCTCAGTTGTGCCCCATACTTTTGTTGAATAATTTTGGTGTATTTTTGTTGTTCACTTTTTGGTGTACCAGGATGAGTCACTATGGACTCTGCTTTTTAAGCTTACACTCTCGTCGGAAAAATAACACCACATGTATATAAATAGCCACAAGAAAATAAATAAAGTCACAAGTGATATAAGCAGTTAAAAATAACAAGTGATATAAGATGATAGGTCTTACTCCATAATGAAAGTGTAAGGTACCTGGCAGGGAATGTATTGGAAGCCAAGCCGAGATGGAGTAAGCCTCTGAGAGTGTGACATGCCATGTGGCTGCTTCTGCCTGCCAGGCCCCTGGGAGAGAGAGAGAGTGCTTGGGGAGAAGAGAGGAAAGCGAGCCATTCAGGGGCAATGTGTGTGTGGAGGGAGGGAGTAGCAAAGATAAATTGGGAGACAGACGTGCACATTATTCCAAGGCAAGTTTTCATTAGGAGATAACACTTGTGTTCTCCAGATATTTCTAGATGATAGTTTAAAAATGGAAATTTTAATAAGAAAATAGCAAGCCAAGAAGTATGTTCTTAGATGACCTCTGTGGCTTGATTAGCACATGTCAGTAAGTCCTGTTACTCTTGATTTTTTAGATGCTAACTGTGTCTGGAAGTGGGAACTTCTTCCTTACTTGGGACAATGTCTCTAGCCAGCCTATCCCTGCAAATGCCACAGCCCATCAGGTGGGAACCTCCTTCAAACACGGAGAGGCGGGGGAGCCAGGGGTGGTCTTTATGTCCATGGTATAAACTCCTGGTAGCTTTTCTTTTCTACAGATTCAAACAGCCATTGAAGAGTTACTTGCAGTCAAATGCCAGCTGGAACCCTTTTCGGCTAACATCCTACTCCGAGTTGGATTTGAAGAAGGTGCTGTCCCTGGCTTGACAAATTGTGACCCTCTTCTCCATCATTCTCTCCCTCTCCCTCTCCCTCTCCCCCCCTCTCTCTGTCTCCTTCTCTCTCTTTCTCGTAAAATGGGAACAATCTTCATTTCCTCTCCAAGGTGCTAATAGAGTCAAGGAAGATACGGAAACTGGATTTGGACACTGAGCGGCCAAAGGAGTGGCTACTTTCTTGGGAGGGAGCTGCTTGGTGTGGTGTCCTCCTGAGCTGTCTGATGAGAAGCCGAGGGTGCTGGGGAGTCAGAGTTAAGGATCACAGTGGGAAAAGACTTGCAAAAGATATAGGTGGGAAGCGGCAAGACAGTACAAATCTTGTTTAAATTGCATCTTGAGTAAAGGAATTATTACATAAAACAGTAGTCTTAACAAATTATAAAAATGAAATGGTTTATTTTAAAAATACTAAGGCGAATTAAGTTGCAATTGACACTCCTTATCTTTTTACTTCTCAACAATTTTCTGTGTCTGGGTACACATGGAAATGGTAGTCCCCCTTTATGCAAACCCCCAGTGAGTACATGAAACCTTGGATATACCATGTTTTTTTCCTATACATACATACCTCTGATAAAGTTTATTTATAAATTCAGCAAGGAAGAGATTAACAGCCATAACTAATAATAAAATAGAACAGTCATAACAACATACTATAATGAAAGTTATGGGAATGTGGCATGTCTCCCTCTCTCTCTCAAAATATCTTATACTGTACTCACCCTTATTCTTTTTTTGTAATGATGCAAGATGATAAAATGCCTAGGTGATGAGATGAAGGGTGGTGAATAATGTATGCATTATGACAGAACATTAGGCTACTGCTGACCGTATTGATACTTTACTTAACAATCACTTTCCGGCTTCTCTTTGGCATATCGGAATGACCAGCATCACTACTCCTGCACTTTGGGGCCTTTATTAAGTAAAACAGGGTTACTTGAACACAAGCACTGGGATCTGAGAACCCAGAGAGCTACTAGGTGACTGCCGGTGGGGAGCATCTAAGCTAGGGACTGTGTGAGATTTCATCATGCTATTCAGGGCGGCGTACAATCAAAAACCTATGAGTTGTTTATTTCTGGAATTTTCCATTTAATATTTTTGGACCACGGTTGACTGCTGGTAACTGAAACTGTGGAAGTGAAACCATAGTAAGGGGGGACTACGTATATTTTTGATGCTCTAGGGGTGACAGAATGGATTTTTCATAGCTGGAGCCTGCAAACGGAGGGCTGCAGGGCACCCTAAACCCTGCCCAGCTCACCGGAGGGCTGGGAGACCAATATCCTGGGGAACCCATAGCTCATGCCCTGCACACATGTTGGGAAGCTCTGTCTTTTTAACATCTACCCTGTCTTTTCATTTTTTTTGAACTGAATGCAGGCCCAGAAGCTTCCAGCTTTGATGGGGACCTCACCAGTGGGACAGAGCCCTTCTGTGGGAGGTTCAGCCTCTGTCAGCCTCGACACCTTGTCCTCACACCCCCTGCTGCCCAGCGGGGCTACCCGCTGGATCAGTACACACAGGTAGGGAGCAGCCCTCATGCTTCCAGCGAGGCATTGGTCTTACTCTTGGAGGTTGAGATGGAGAAACAGAAGCACAAATGAGTGATTGCTGTGTTTGCTGTGATTTGCCTAACACGTTTCGGGCTGAGCTTCTTGGTTTCTTAAATGCTGTTTCAGGTGTGAACAGATGCCTCCAGTCCTCCATTAGCTACTTGTTACATAGAAATGCCTTTGTATTTGTGGGAGACCTATGGGAATGTTCATATGCTTTGTACAGGGGTGGGCAAAAGTCGGTTTACAGTTGTGAGTATGCCAAACAGAAAGTTTATTCTTGTATTATTTATTGGTTATTGTATTAGTTTCCATAATAACTCTAAACCGACTTTTGCCCCCCAGCCCCGTTTATTTTCTTTGCTCTTTAGGTATCAGTGCAGATCTGTAATCAGATTTTCTGGTTTTGAATTCTGACTCTATACCCTGTGTGCCCTCAACGTCTTACTTTACACATCTGAAAAATGGGTAATAATGTTGTCTATCTCTCAGGATTTGGGGGAAGATTAAATGAGGTAATTCACTGAAGTACCTGTGCAGTGGTTAGGAATCAGCAGAGGCTAGCTATTGTTTTTTTTGTTTTTTATTATAGTTACTAGAGGCCCGGTGCACAAAAATTTGTGCACTCCGGGGGAAGGGGGGTGTCCCTCAGCCCGGCCTGTGCCCTCTTGCAGTCTGGGACCCCTCAGGAGATAACGCCCTGCTGGCTTAGGCCTGCTCCCGGGTGGCAGAGGGCAGGCCCAATCCCTAGGTGCAGCCCCTGGTCGGGCTCAGAGCAGGGCCGATTGGGGGGTTGGGGCACCGCCCCCTGTCACACTCAAGGCAGGGTCAATGGGGAGGTTGCGGCGCCACCCCCTGTCACGCACAGAGCAGGACCAATCCGGGGGTTAGGGCGCTGCCCCCTGTCACTCACAGAGCAGGGCCCATCAGGGGGATTGGGGAGCTCCCTCCTGTCACGCACAGAGCAGGGTCGATCAGGGGGTTGGGGAGCTCCCCCGTGTCACGCACAGAGCAGGGCCCATGAGGGGGTTGGGGAGCTCCACCCTGTCATGCACAGAGCAGGGCCCATTAGGGGGTTGAGGAGCTCCGCCCTGTCACTCAGAGAGTAGGGCCGATAGGGGAGTTGGGGCACCGCTCCCTGACACACACAGAGCAGGGCGGATCAGGGGGTTGGGGCACCGCCCTCTATCACCCACAGAGCAGGGCTGATCAGGGTGTTGGGGCACTGCCACTGTCACACTCAGGGAAGGGCCGATGGGGAGGTTATGGCTCTACCCCATCACACACAGAGCAGGGCCCATGGGGGCAGGGGGAAGGTTGGGGCGCCGCCCTCTATCACCCACAGAGCAGGGCCGATCAGGGGGTTGGGGCGCTGCCACTCTCATACTCAGGGCAGGGCCGATGGGGAGGTTATGGCTCTACCCTGTCACACACAGAGCAGGGCCCGTGGCGGGGGGGGGCTTTGGGGCGCCGCACCCTGTCACACACAGAGCCGCAGGGCAGTCAGGGGGTTGGGGAGCTCCCCCGTATCAGGCACAGAGCAGGGCTGATCAGGGGATTAGGGCGCCTTCCCCTGTCACGAACAGAGCAGGGCTGATAGGGAGGTTGTGGCCCCGCCCCCTGTCACACACAGAGCCGAAGGGCGATCAGGGGGTTTGGGCGCTGCCCCCTGTTACGCTGATCCCGGTGCCGGGAGGCCTCGCGGCTCCGCTGATCCCGGTGCTGGGAGGCATATTACCCTTTTACTATATAGGGTAGAGGCCTGGTGCACGGGTGGGGGCCAGCTGGTTTCCCCTGAAGGGTGTCCTGGATCAGGGTGGGGGTCCCCACTGGGATGCCTGGCCAGCCTGGGTGAGGGGCTGAGGGCTGTTTGCAGCTGGTCACACCCCCTTCAGGGTGGGGGTCCCCACTGGGGTGCCTGGCCAGTCTGGGTGAGGGGCTGAGGGCTGTTTTCAGGCTGGCGGGTGACGGAAGCTCCCAACCGCTCCTTTTTTTCTTTTTCTTTTTTCATTCTGGGCCAGCTTTAGCTCTGAGGCTCCAGCTCTGAGGCCTCCGCTGCTGAAAGCAGGTATCTGGTTTGTTTTGGTTCTATAATCGAAACAATGTATAACCCCAGCTCTGAGATCCCGGTTCGCTGAAAGCAGGTTTCTGGGGTTTTGTTTAGCTTCTATATTTGTTACAATGTTTCTTAAACTGCAGGCTCAGAGGCCAGCAAGGCAGGCGGGGAGCGTTGGAGTCCTCCGTCACTGAAGCAAGCAAGCCTCATGTTAGTTTCAAGCTGCCTGGCTGCCGGCCGCCATCTTGGCTGGCAGTTAATTTGCATATCTCGCTGATTAGCCAATGGGAAGGGTAGTGGTCATACGCCAATTACCGTGTTTCTCTTTTATTAGATAGGATTATTATTGATGCATTGACTGACCCATTTCTTGAATCCCTCTTATATCCTTTGTGTCAGTGGCTCTGCAGTTCTTCAAATGAAGCCCATTTGCCCTGTGGGAACCAGGGTGAGCCTTGCTGGGGCAGCTGAGCTCATGGCAGTGGTTTTGTCCTGGCCTAGTTGAACGGCAGTGGGAATGGGACTGAATGGTTCAGGTTGGAGCACCATCCATCTCTCAGAAGCACTTCCCACACAGCAGAGGCTCCCATTGGGCATAATTTTGCCTCCTAGGGGAGAGTTGGCAATTTATGAGGACATATTTGGTTGCCACAACTGGGTCATTGCTACTGGCATCCACTGGATAGATCTCAGCAATGTTGCTAAATATGTACATTGTGTAGACTAGACACCTCACAGAAAAAAAAAAATCCAATCCGAAATGTCAATAGTGCTGAAGTAAAAAAATTCTGCTCTAAAGACTTTTTGAGTCAAATAATTTTACTTAACTCAGAGTTAGAAACCAGGGATGCTGGGGAGTTAGAGTCAAGGAACTGCAGCTCAGAGAGGTTAAGTTACTTGCTCAAGGTTGCACAGGTCACCGGGTCAGAACAGGGGTTTTCTAATAGAGATCCTTTAAAATTGTCATTGCCAAACACAGTGCACTTAATAACTTTTTTGGAAAATAACAATTTACTCTAAATGATTTGTCTCTCCTGCTAGACTAGTGAGTTCCGGGAGGGCAGGAACTCGGCTGACTCTCTCACAGCATGAGGCAGGGTTCTAGGGAGGTGGACTCACCTCACCACACATTGTTTGAATGGCTTCTTCCTGCACTGATGGAGCTGAAGCACTTATCTGGTGTCCACAGCTGTGCGTTGCATACAAAAGCCACATGAATAAGACCCTGAAGGTGACCGTGTCTTTCACAATCAATCTTCAAAACATCATTAAGAACATCACCTGTGACTGGAGTCTCATCGGAACCAGTCCCGAAAGGTAGATAACCTGTGGGGAGTTGTGGGAATTCTGCCAACTGGGATGATTAGCTCTCTCGGGGACAGTGCCTCAGATATGAGCTAACTTGGGGCTCTGAACACAGATGTGGAAAAAATGGAGCCTGGAGAAGTTTGATGTAAAAACAGTTAGTTGTGAGGAATATAATCTTTCTAGAAGGAGTCTGACATTTCTCATAGAGTCACAGAACATAGTATTTGGAAGAGGCTTTAGAAAATATTCCTTGACATTACCGATGAGAAAAATGGGTTGGTGATTCACCCAAATGAACAAGATTCTGGAATAAAATTCAAGCATCTCGATGCCTTGACTCAGTGCTCTTTCCAGAGATCTCTTATGGGTTTTATAAGTGGTTTTAAACTAAATAGTCCTGTAATGTCCAGGAGTATTAATCTTCCTTCTCATTAAAGCCTAACAGACTATCTGCCTGAGACACACACTTATATTGTATCTAGAGGCCCGGTGCACCAATTCGGCTTGGCCTGTGGGATTGGGCCAAAACTGGTTCTCCAACATCCCCCGAGGGATCCTGGATTGCGAGAGGGCGCAGGCCAGGCCGAGGGACCCCACCAGTGCACAGTCAGGGCCGGGGAGAGACTCCGGAGGTTGGCCAACCCAGGAGGGACTGCAGGAGGGCTCCAGGGCATGTTCGGTCTGGCCTGTCCAATCAGGACTGCAGGAGGGCTCCAGGGCATGTCCGGTCCGGCCTGTCCAATCAGCCGGACCCCAGCAGCAAGCTGACCTAATGGTTGGAGCGTCTGCCCCCTGGTGGTCAGTGCACATCATAGTGAGCAGTTGAGCCTCGGCCTTAGCATATCATTAGCATATTACACTTTGGTTGAATGGCTGACAGGTTGACCAGATACTTAGCATATTAGGCTTTTATTATATAGGATTTGAAAAAGACTCCATGTCAGGAATGAATGATTGCCTTAAAATGTGATTCACTAATGTGATAGCACAAGTTCAGCTTAATAGCCTGCCTTGGATGTTGTACGCAAGGCACACAAGACTGTTTGGGGGCTGGGGGTTCACGGGGTCCCTCTCCTGGCTACACAGTCCTCAGACCCCCTGGTTGGAGAACGAGGGCTCTAATGGGAGGGGTCTGTGGATGCACAGGAACAGGCCCATTTCTGCTGTGTGCTTGTTTTTCAGCTGGCGATTCACTTGCACTAACCTGTGGAAGACTTGTGTGCATCGCTCCACGCATCTCCAGAGGCCTCTGGCAAACTCCCCGGTGCTGGTTCATCGAATTGACCTCTTCCCTCTGGCTCTGGAGACAGGCGTGTTCTGTGTGGATGAAGTTATTATTGCAGACACAAACCTAACAGGTGATCATCGAATCCACTCTCTTCCATGGACCTGTCCGTCAAAGGCTGACCTTAAACTTTTCTGCTAGGGGCTGCTGTTATTTTAATGAAGAGGGAACAGGTGATTCTCCATCTTGCCTGCCTTTTTCTAGAGAGAAGATGGGGTTGGTATTGTGTGCCCTTGGCCCCTATATTTCTCCAGCTGGCTCCTCTTTTTTCCTATTCCCTGCAATGCTTGCTCCTGCTTCTGGTGGTTGTGCTGTCGCCCTGATTTTACTCCTTCCTTTCTGAGAAGCCTTGGTTTCCTCATCCATAAAATGGTCATATTGAGGTCCCTGCCTCATTGGATTAACTGCAAAGATTAACTGAAGTGTAATGGAAAGTACTCATCACAAGTCCTGACCATAGTAAGTGCTCAATAAACATGAGCAATTATTATTACTTATTAACATTATTATTACTGTTAATAAGAAGTCCAGAAGGATTTCTTGATCTTTCTTTCAGTTAATATCTGTCATACAAAGTGCTGGAAGAACACAGCAATATCTGGCCATATAAAGGGACTGAAGTTCTGATTTATGACAGACTCAGTGTGAGCTAGAGGGTAACCAGGCCCTCATGAGAATAGCCTTGTCTTGTCCTTCCTTCTGCCCACCTAGATTCCTCCCCCTTGTCAGTTAGGGTTCAGGCTGGGCCTATTTCTCCACCAAGTCCTTTGTCCTTCCTTAGGCACAGTGATCTCACTGGGCTTTGCTTGTCCACAAAGTGCTCACCAGGGGACTTTAGACTGGCCCCGGAGACTGCACACACAGGAGAAGGGAAGCCCCCAGCCAGGTAGATGGTGCCACTGCTCCCAGGGCCTCCAGGCTTCCAAGTTCTTTTTATTCTCCATTTCCCATCACATCCTTGTGACTTTGGGGCTCAGCTTTCCTGCTTTAAGTAGCTTCTCTCACCCAGGAGAAGGGGAGGAAGCAGTCATTTACATTTGATTTATAAAATGTGCAAGTTTTCAGCCTTTTGCCTGTAACATTGCAAAGCTGAGGGCAGGGGAACTTGGGGGTGCATGGCAAAGGTCTCTCTTTTAACCCTGAAATTACGTTGTATTTGAACTCATCAAAATTCTGCCTCTTATTTGTTTTAGTGGTTTCAGTGTTTTGAGGGCATCTGGGTCAGACTGTGTCACTGCTTATTTTCAACCTTGCTTATGTTCTGGCACACAGAAAATAATATTCAGATGGTGTGCTTGGGTAACTGCCTGAATTCTTGGTGCCTAAGATACTGAGCTGGGCCTTTTGCGACCCTCAAGTGCTGCCCAGATTCCTGGAGGCTGAGGGTCTCAATATTTCAGACACTTGAACTCCGTGATAGGGAAACTCAGGATTAGATAATAGTTGCCTTTTCCTTTTTTTTTTTCTCTTCTCCTTTAAATGCTATCTTATACCTACAAACCTTCAAAGTGCAAGATCCAGAGCACTTTCTCATTGCCCCCACCTCTCTGCCACCAAATGCTCCGCTATCTGGATCCATCCTAGGAGTGAGGTGAGGAGGGAAGCAGAGAGGAAGGGGGCAGAGACAAGAAAGAACATGGGTGGCTTGGGTAAAACCATGTTTCCTGCTTTGGCTAGTTAGCCTGCTGGGAACTTTGCTTTGAGGATTTTTTAATGGCAACATAAACTTGATACAATTGGGCTCAATATCCAGAGTTAATTGTCCAACATTTATCTGATCAATTTAACATGATTATATTCTCCCATCCAAATGTCCTCTATGGAAGTTTTTCTCATCTAATGGTAGCTACCATTTATTTCTCATTTACTTCTTAGAACCCCATGAGATGGTCCGAGTATCCCCACCCAATAGATGACAAAAGCAAAGCTAAGAGGGGCTGAATATCTTGCTCCAAATCCATAGCCAGGACGTGGGCAACCCTGGAACCCTGAGATCATTGATACCAAAGCCAAAACTTCACTGACTCCATACCCAGCTGAGTGAATCCACATTTACTGAGCACCACTCTGTGCCTGGTGCTGTGCTAAGCATCGGGTATGCAAGCATACTGCCTTTAAACTGTTTCCTGTCTCATGGTACTGTCTTGGGGAAGAAGCTATATTTTACACAGCGCCTAGTAGGAGAGGAGGAGAATATTAAATTACATTGTGCTGGTCATTTAAATCTGCCATCTCACGAAACTCTCCCTGCTGCGCAGGTTGGTATATGTCATGATTCCCATTTTAGAAAAGAGAAAATGTCTTAGGTTAGTTTGATTAGCCAAATGGTAATCCAAGAGAGGTGGAAAATCAGGATTTCAACAGTGGTCTGTCTCAAAGTGTGCACTTTTCCTGCTCATGTGCTGACTCTACTGTGGATAAATAGTAGGTACCCCCAGTACGGGCCTCGTGTGTTCAGTCTTCCTAAGGAGGATCTGCTGGGCATTCCTGGAGTTGCCAGGGAAAAGAGAGGAGGAAAGGGCGGCCATCCACACTGTAATAGATTATCTGTGTGAGGATCCTCCTGTTTGGCTTATGTCTCCTTGAACTTTGCTGTGAAATCAGACTCTGTCTCCTTACACCATCACCTTGCAATTTTTTGTTGCTACTAAACTCCTGCCTCTTCCCACTGTGCTCTGCATCCAGCAGAGGGCAGGAATCTCAGCTGTGAGTGTGTGCTGAGATCTAAGTAACTCAGCATCTCCAGCGGGGCCTTTCCTCACAGCTGGTCTCCCACCTTGAGTTACTTGGTAATAATTGGATCGTTGCTCTCCAGTTTCTCAGGCTGATTCTGGAACAGCTCGCCCGGGTGGGAATCTGGTGGAATCACTCTCTGTGGTGGGATCCCCTCCAGTCTACAATGTAACCTCCTGGTTGGCAGGGTGTGGCTCAGAGCTCCCACTCATCATTGCAAGGTAAGGAGCTGTCTTTGTTCACCGGTCGCTCCTTAAGATTGTTAGTTGGTCCTGGAGGACACAAAGGTGGGACTTTTATTAGGAAAAGTCACCCATCTTGTTGCTTAAAGCAACGCTTCTTAGTCTTAAGAATGCAGTATCAGACACCTGGAGGTCTTGTTAAAACATAAATCACAGCCCTAATCCCACCATCTTTAATTCACTGGGTATCGGGCAGGGTCTGAGAATTTGCATTCTCAGTGGGTTCCCAGGCAATGCTGATTTTACTGGTCTGGGGACTACACTTCAAGAACTAGTTCCTAGAGACTTTGTTTAAAAGTAGTTGTATGTTTATGCTCTTCAGAGGCGCACATTGCCTCCATTTTCTGTTCACACCCCTCCTTCCATTTCTCATACATTAATATTATTGGAATTATTTGAGGCTAAATGCAAGTCTATAGAACAGTGGTTCTCAACCGTGGCTGCACATTAGAATCGCCTGGGAATCTTTTTAAAATCCTGATTTCTGGGCCTCATCCTCTGGAAATTCTGTTTCTTTGTTATGGGGTGGGGCCACAACATTAGTAACAAAGAAACAGAATTTCCGGAGGATGAGGCCCAGAAATCAGGATTTAAAAAAGATTCCCAGGCGATTCTAATGTGCAGCCAAGGTTGAGAACCACTGCTATAGAACAAACACAGCTATGTTTAAGAACTCACCACCAGATGGCACTAGAGCCCCATAAGCATCTCTTGTCTTAACCTAGTCAAACTTCCCAGCCAAATTTACAAAGCAATAACTAAAGAGCAGGCTCTTCCTCTAAGCTCCTGGAACATGTGTAGGCTCTAATTCATTCTTTTTGTTTTTATTTATTTTTTAATTTTATTGAATTTATTGGAGTGACTGGTTGGTTAATAAAACCATGCAGATTCCAAAACCCCAGTAGGACAGGAAGAATTGAGAAGCTCGGCCTTTACAATCCCCCATCCCCCCCATCTCTTTCTAATATGTTCCAAAATTAGTTCTCACACTTACACCATGCTTAAGACAGTGTATTAATGACAGGTGCAGTGATTGACTTTGCTCTCCTCTTTCCTTGACCTGGTCCTCTGGGCAGGAAAGAAGTGAAATCCATCAACAGAATGAAAAAGTGCAAGCTCTTTGGTGGTGGGGAGGGAGCTGCCGCACCCGCCAACCTGCAGTCCTGTGCCCCAAATGTCACAGCTATTAACCCTGAATCGATAGGGCTAATTTAGGTTGTTTTGAACAGGCCCACTCTTAGAGGGTCCTCACAACCTTACCTGCTGATTTTTCCTCAAGTCCTTTCACTCCTGGGAGCCTCCAGCCTGAGCAAGACAGGGCAGCCTTCAGTCTGGCCTCTCCGAGATTCATCTTCCAACACCCATAGTGTCACTTTGTCTGACTGCTTCAGTCTGGTTGTATGTACCCACGTCAATATGTAAAACCGAATACTGTTATTGACAGAAATTAGATATGTTTATTGTTGAAAATTGGGAATATATAGAAAAACACATAGGAGACGATAAAAATCACTCTGTCTGCTCAGGCATAACTTCTATTAACATATTGAATCCATATTCTGGCTGCCTATTTCCTCTAGCTGTTTTTACATACATATATACGTGTGTATATGTACTTTTAAACCTCTTATTAGGACCAAAAATAACATACTCTATTTGTAACATGCTCTTTTCACCTAATGGTATAACTTAAAATTTTCCTCATTTCATTAAACATTTCTCTAAAATACAGTTTTTAATGGGTGAATGGTATTCCATCTCATGGTGTGTCACAATTCAGTCGACCCATTTTTATGGTATTCAGAGCAGCGTCAGGCAGTCGGTGTGTTTGAGTGCAGGTATTAGAAGAACTTGGCCAGCTGCAGTGGCCTGTGTTTCAGCTGCAGATATCGCATGGGGAAGTTTCTGTCACTGCCTGTGCATTTAACTATGCAAATGCGGTTGAGAATACCAAGTTCTCCCTCTACTCTGTGTTGGGGACCAGAGCCATGGAGGCCAGTGTCATCCCTCTGGTACCCAGTGAAGGGAAAGGATGGACATTCTTAAAAAATCCTAATATTTACAGCATACTTTTTCTACTGTGATAGGAGAGGGGCACCAGGTATTTGGGAGCCTGAGCTTAGGGTGGTCTGGAACCGTGGGGGGCTAGCTAGTCTTTGAGAAGGAGCTATGTTCTGCCTGGAGCAGCATTCTGGAAGGTCACTGTGGTTAATGCTTGGTGTTTGATATGCCATAGCACTGTGCCCACCGAAGAAGCAGAAGAAGGATCCGGGTTGGTCCAGGTGGCAACGCAGAGACTTCAGAGAACAAGTCCACCTTTAGGAGGACACTTTCGCATCCACCTTTCTAATACAGTGATTCCTGGTAAAGGGGTAATGGGGTGGTGATGGTGGTGCAGCATTTATTATTTACATGTTGAGGGGCATTCCTTGGCAAGCAACATCCTGTGAGATTGTCAGGCATGGGGACAGTCTGAATGCTATTTTGTTTATTTTCCAGGGTCTGAAAATGATCTTATTAAATAAAGACTTAGACAATAACAATATCATTGCTAATATAATCCCAAACTTTTAGCTTTATAGATGTGGAAACAGTGGTTTAGCTTCTTGGGGCTGTCATAACAAATGACCACAACTTTGTGGCTTAAAACAAGACATTTATTCTCTCACAGTCGAGGCCAGAAGTCCAAAATCAAATTGTTGGCTGGGCTACACTTTTCCTGAAGGCTCATGGGGAGAGTCCATTTCCTGCCTTTTCCAGCATCTGGTGGCTGCCCGTGGCTATGACTCCACCCCCTGTCTCTGTGCTCACATTGTCTCTTCCTCTTCTGTCTCCGAGCTCCCTCTGCCTCTCTCATAAGGATATATGTGACCCAGGGCCCACCCTGACAATCCAAGATAAACTCTTCTCAGGATCTTTGACTTAGTCACACCTTATGCTATATGTAAGGTAATATTAACTCTTTGGCCTTATAATGTAATATTAATAGGTTCTGGGGATTAGGGAATTGACATAGCTTTTTTTTTTTTTTTTTAAATATATTTTATTGATTTTTTACAGAGAGGAAGGGAGAGATAGAGAGTTAGAAACATCGATGAGAGAGGAACATCGATCAGCTGCCTCCTGCACATCTCCCACTGGGGATGTGCCCGCAACCCAGGTACATGCCCCTGACCGGAATCGAACCTGGGACCCTTCAGTCCGCAAGCCGACGCTCTATCCATCGAGCCAAACCGGTTTCGGCAGCTTTTTTTTTTAAATCCTCATCCAAGGATATTTTTTCCATTAATTTTTAGAGAGAATGGAAGGTAGGGGGTGCTTAAGAGAGAGAGAGACATCAATGTGACTGAGCCAGGGATCGAACCTGCAACCTAGGTAGTGCCCTTGATTGGGAATTGAATCTGCAACCCTTCACTGTGCAGGCTGCAGCTCTAACCATTGAGCACCACCAGCCAGGGCGACATATCTTTTGGAGGGCCACCATTCAGCCCACTACACTGAGGTTTGCCCAAAGATCATACAGATAGTTGATGTCCTCTTCTCTCTGGTGTTTCCTAGGCCAAGATCCATGGTAGCCATGGTTCTTTTGAATTAAACTCCACGATGACGCCATATGCTCTTAAGGACAGTAGTGATCATAACAAAGGTAGAAGGAACTTTCAGATGCGATGAGAGTAGTTTCTAAATCTTCAATAACATACACAGTTCACAAAGGATAAGGATTATAAATGAGTATAATTTGTGATTTAGTTGGTATAAACATAGGGGAATCAGAAAGGAGGCTCAGGAGAACTCAAGAGTGGCTGTATAAAAATTAGTGCATGGTCCCAAAATCTTCTGCCCTCCCAGGCAGAAAGATGTGGTACTTGCAATAAATCTTCTTCAGTGGGAAGAATGCAGTGGTGTTTTTACTCTAATAGGGCAACTTAGGGAAAGTTGAAGGTCCTTAGGTTACTGGACTCTATTGCTACTAGAGTTTGATAAGTGGGTGAATCAGTGCCAGCAGTGCCCTGCCCCTGTGAAGTCCATCATTGTGCTGTTTCCCTTATCAATAATGAGACAGCTGCAGCCCGTGTGTGCGTAGACAGACTCTTCCTGCCACTGCCTTCTATTCTGATGCTCCTCACATCATTGCCTGCAGAACAACAGGGGAAGCCAGCCTTCACCTGGCCTTTTGAAACAGTGAGGGCCCCAAGTTATGCAAATGTAGAATAATCTTTTTTAAAAAGGATGAGAATTTTGTTTGCATTTTAGAAATATAGTGGTATTTTATTAACACTCCAAGGCAGTGTGGGATTTAAGAGGAAGACTTGAAAAGGTAGAAGGCAACCTGTATTTTAATATAAACCTTCCTCACTTGGTTGGCAAGCTTCTGAATCTTCTTAGTTTTCATTTTCTTCGTCTCTAAAGGAGGCATTAGGGTACCCAAATGACCCACCTCCCAGAGCTGATGAGAGTGGCTAATGAAATGGAAACTTTTGGTAAAGCATGAAACAGTTCAGACTCAAGTAGGACTTGAAACACCCAGTGTTATTGCTCTATGCTATGGCGATGTGGAATGGGGAAGCAGGTGGTTGGGCTTAAAGGAAATTCTAATAGAGAAACCGAAGTTAAATGTCAGCATTCCTCAGCTGGGCTGGCTGTGTTTTATGAATGTCAGCTGCTGTGTGCCTCTCCCACCCCTGTGAAAGGTGGCCAACTTTTCTCTGTTCACAGAGCCAGCTACATTTTTTTTCCCCAGGAAAACTCAACATTTAATTAGACTTTCAGGCATTACCAGGGTGTCTGGAGTCTGTATTTTGAGTTGACAGTTGAGATAGTTTTGTCTGATGTGACTGTGCTCTCTGCTTGGAATTCGAGATGTGATACTGACTAAAGGTATCACGATATAAAAAGGGGGCATCTACTCGTATCTACCTTAGGAAAAAAGTGGTTTAACTGGGCTGGGGCTTCTCTTGAAGCTATATTTTGAACATGAGAGTCTCCTGCATATTTAGAAGGTATCTTGACCTTTATTCTCTGTTATCTTCATGATGAGACCTTATGAGGTAGAGTAATTTATGTCTTATATTTTGTATATCACAACCTTTCCCCACAGACGTTCCTGTACGTATTTCAGCTAGTCACCTTCGAAAGCTCTTACAGAACAATGCTGATGACGTCACATCCAGGTATCTCAATGTCAGTGACTTCACTGTGAAGGAGGATCTGAAGTCTTGCTACGAACATGTATGGACTCTCTCCTGGTCCACCCAGGTTGGGGATTTGCCCAATTTCATCTGGGTATGTATGGTATCCCTTTTGGTGGTATAGGGTTTGTGCCCTGGAACAATTTTGTAAAGAAAAATATCAGAATGATATAAACTAAAACCGTCATGAATTATTAATTTTATTGGAATATTCAAATAAAGGGGCTCAATTATCTTGCTTTCTGGAAGTTTTCAAGACATATTTTGTGTCTCATTCTCTGATAAAGCAATTTGAACCAATGTCTCCTTTCCTAACTCAGTGTAGGTAGAGACGTTGTTGGTCAGTGTCCACCTTACACCAGTTCTGCATCTGTTATTGGATAATTTAAGCAGATGTGATTGACTTAGATTATGAGGGAGGCAGATGGCACAGCAGAAGGAATTTTAGAAAAGGATTTGCTGTCGTTGGGTAATGACAAAGCCAGATGCTCTTGCATATTTAGGGTTTTAAAAATAATCTAATGATCATCTAGCATTTGGTTATTATAAAATGAAATCCAAGATGGAATTTGATCCCTGTTATATGGTGGTGTGGGTCATCTGGTTTTCAAACAAAATACTTGGGTGGAGATAGGGGAAGGACAGGAGTCATCTCATAGCACTTGTTTCCTTACATTTTATTGTAATATTTTGGATTGCAAACATACAAAATAGAAAAGCACATAGGAAACAAAAACATCACAAGACTTAGAGAAATAATTTTTGTAGAACTCCATTTGCAAATAAATATCCCTCTAATTTACTGGGCCTTTCATTGGTCATTACTTATGTCAGGTTTCTAGTTTTCAATCCCCGGCCACTCCATGTTCACTTTCTAGCTATCGGATTATCTTAAACAGAATGTAAAAAGACCTTTTATTATTTGTTTAAATCAAGACTAGAGTGCTATTCCATGACAGAATTCACCAGAAATGTGATCGTCTTAGGTCTCTGATGAAAATCTAACCGGAGTGAACCCTGCTGCAACCACTCGTGTGGTATATGATGGTGGAGTTTTTCTTGCACCCATATTTGGAGACGTGTTGGTTACTGCCAACCAGCACACTCAGGTGAGAGTAGATGGGCCATTCCAAATGCAAGTACTAGTTTTACATCTGTCTCAGCCCCTCCCTAGTGTGTAATGTGGACCAATCCCAAGGAGAAGTTTTATAACCCATAACACAGAGACAGTTATGGTTGTCCGCTTTCTACTTCCACAGGGTATGGAAAGGACTCTGAAAACTTAAGTGCTTTGTAAACACAATATCCTGTTATTATAATTATTGATGCTATTATTATGGTATAAAAAATAGAGAACCTCTGTGAGTACATATGGTTTATACTTCCACACATTGGTATTGAAAAGTAAATGAGCTAAGTCAACTCCTTTTCTCTTTAAAATGTCTTTTCCTCTTTCCCATCTGCCGATAATCCTGTTATAAGTCATCTGCTTTTAATTTGAGAAAAGTTTAAAATACCAAACTATAAAGAATAATATAACCAAAACCAGGGTACCTAAACTGAGGATTAATAATCATCAACATGTTGATATATTTAATGTTTTTGTCTTTATGGATAAAATAAAACAGATAAAATCAAAGTGTTCTTTATCAACTATGCCTTTATGCTATCCCAATACCCTTTTCCTCCATAAGAAAACACTATCATAAAATACAGTGTATGTACTTTTATCCATATTTCCTATGTAGAGAGTCCAGTGAGCACATCTTTTCTCATCTCCAAGTATTGTAGGATTCTATTAGATTAACATTAGTTCCAGTGCAAGGGAAAGACATGTACAGGCTAACTCTTGAACAGTCAGGAGTTAGGGGCACTGACACCCTCATAGTAAAAAGTCTGCATGTAACTTTCGACTGCCCCAAATCTTAACTACTAGTAGCTGATTACATAAACAGTGAATTAACAACATATTTCATATGTTATATGTATTTTATACTGTATACAATAAAGCAGTTAGAGGAAAGAAAATATTATTAAAATAATAAGAGAAAATATATTTATAGTATTTATAAAAAGTATAATACATTTACAGTATTATTAAGAGTAGAATAAGAGAAAATACATTTACAGTATTTATAAAAAATACATTTATCCATGTTGTTCAAGGGTCAACTATGGTCTCTTCTTGGGGTCCTACTATTCTAGGACAAAAAATACCCCAAACCAAGTGTCCAAATACTCCAATTTTTAGTTATATATCCATGTAGAAATGGTGGAAGGAAGTTGCCTACTTTTTTGGCATTTACCAGCAAAGAAAGGGCTTTTCACAGGAAATATCTACCTAGTTGAAAATAGAAAGTGATAAAAAGTCCTTTTGCAGTTTGAATTTTATTACATTTAGTTTTATATGACAGAGAGGATATTTATTCAAGATGTAGCACATTTAATTGTAGAAATGTGATGTTTTAGCATGTTTGCCATCAGTTTAAGAGTCTGACATATTTTGAGCCATTCATTACAATTTAGGGCGTATTACTGGGAAATAGAAGAAAGAAAATAAGTGAATCATGAACACATTTTAATTTGGACAAATTTCACAAGTACTGTATGAATACTACTGAGTACATGAAGTGCATACATTTGGGTTTCTTTCTTTTGCCTTTTTTCAGGTAGTTGTGCAAGTGAATGACATACTAGCTCATTGCTCAGGTTCCTGTTCTTTCCAGTATCTTGAAGGGTCAACTCCCCGAGTCCACTCCGTGTGGTATTCCCTTGGTAAGATTTGTGACTGGGCATTGATATGGTCATGAACTTTAGGCTCAGAGTGATTTGTCAGCGGCCATGTACCGGTGATGGGTGGGTAGGAGGTGTATCAGTTTATGGAGTGGATGTTTAGTGATGCAACAGAAAGTGTATTTTTTTGGCCAATGTAACTGGTATTATTATGACTGAAAATGGAGACAAGTGGATTTTTGATGATTTAAAAATGCTTTATTTTCTTTATTTCTTGTTTTGAGATATTCTTTACTTTGATTTCCCCCCATTTTTATCGACTAGTCTTCTCTCATTACTACTTTGAGACCATTTAAGATGGGGGCTGTATGCTTACAATGATAAATGCTAATGTCCAGTATTTGAGTCAGCATGAATCTGAAGATGAGAGGGGAAGATGAAAGAAAAGGATCATTTGATGTTAGAGAGAGTTATCTGAAATGGAATGATATCCCTGAGAGATGATTTTGTTCTTTTAATTTCTTTCCTTCTTTAAGATGCTGACATGGACCTACTGGTTTATATTACTGGAACTAGTTTCTCGGGGGACTCCCAGGCCTTGCAGATTACAGTGAATAAAACAAGTTGCAAAGTTATTTTCTCAAACCAAACAGATGTGGTCTGCCAGACAGACCTGCTACCTGTCGGAGTGTATCAGATCTCAGTGCTGGTGAGACCCTTGGGTCGTGCCATCAATGCCAGTGGAGGAGGCCTCTTCCTGAATGTGGAACCCAGACTGGACGCTGTGGAGCCTCCAAGAGCTGCAGAGATTGGTAATATGGGGAGGACCCCACACTGCATCTGACCCTCTGAAGGTAGCATTCTTGCTGACATGCAGGAACCTACTCCTGCTGTGTAATCAATTCTGTACCCACTATGATTCACAGCTTTTTGTTTTCTGCCATCAGAATTTCTTCTAATGAGCAACAGATATTTGAGCCCTTAAATGAACTCACTTGCTACATAGTTTGGCTGTGGTACTAGGCATGATTGGGTCAGTCACTGAGTCACCAGGATTATTTGGTTTAGTGGAAACAACACCAGATTGGGTGTTAGGACATATGTGCTGGGGTTTCCGTGATGCCAAAATCAGATGTGTGACCTAAGAAATGTCAGTTACTTTTAGGGGACTTAGTTTCCTAATACAGATGATGATAGGCATCATGTTACTTAAGAAGCATCTCTTCTTAGGTAGTCACATACCCTAAATGCTTACCGCCGCCTGGAAGATGGAGATATTCTCCACATTGTTCAGATGAGATAATGGTGGTTCTGCGAGAACAGTGACTTGCCCCGGGCTTTCCAATAGAAAGAGGTGGATTTAGGATGCAAACTGGGATTGTCAGATGCCAAGACTCCTGCTGCTTTTGCGTGCCATGCTGTCTTAGTTATATAATGAGCCTAATCATGCTTAACTTATAGGCCTCTTAGTTTTGTATGAGATTAAAATGAGTCAACAGGTGGGAAAGTCCTTTGAAAAGTAAAAGCGATGCACAGGTCTTGCCCACTAGAAGCCTTGCACACAGTGGGTGCTCACAAATGTTGTAAACTGATATACACTTGGATACATGGCTATCATGCAAAGCCAACTAGCATTCGAATAGTGGGGTATGCAAAGGGCAGTGGATCTTGTCAGTGTCAGCCTGGTGGACTGGGTCTTAGTGCCATGAAAACCAAGGAGCTCTTCTGAGGAACATGACAGTTAAAAACAACCCAGCCAGATTGCAAGAATTCTTAGGAATACTCATGTATATATATATGTTAATGTATGATTTTTGGAGCATAAAACTTCTTTTTAAAAAAAATATGTCTTATTGATTTTTTACAGAGAGGAAGGGAGAGGGATAGAGAGTTAGAAACATCGATGAGAGAGAAGCATCGATCAGCTGCCTCCCGCACACCCACCCCCTACTGGGGATTTGCCTGCAACCAAGGTACATGCCCTTGACCGGAGTCGAATCTGGGACCTTTCAGTCCGCAGGCCGACGCTCTATCCACTGAGCCAAACTGGGTAGGGCTGGAAGGGTTGTTTTTTAAAGATGAGGCAAGTGAGAACCAGTGAGCGCAGGGGCAATACTCCAAATGATCTGCTTTAAGTGGCAGAGCAATCTGTGGCCCTGACTCTGGGCTCACTGCTCCTTCTGCCATGATGCTCTCTTATACTTGATAATTCCAGAAACAAATATGTTTTATAGGATTGGCAGGGACTATATTTAACAATCTAGGGCAGGAAGGGTTTTTCAGAGACCATCTACTTCCCTTCTCAGACCTGTGGCAGTATTATAACTCCAGGCTGCATTTCTACCTCTCTTTCCCCTCTAGTCTCCATTGCTACTTCCCTATCCAGTAGTTTATATATTTAATTTCACTCATTTCTGCAATTTGAGAATGTATTTTGACCAAGGAGCTTCATATTTTAATTTTATTTATCTCTTGCAAATAATTAATTCTGTCTGTCTGTATGGCTGTATATCCCATATGAAAATGCTATATTTGTTACAGGAGGACTCTGGGCCACCATCCGAGGCTCCGGTTTGGAAGATGTCAGCCTCGTTTTATTTGGATCTCAGTCTTGTGCCATCAATGTCACCACAAGCAATTCACGGAGAATTCAATGCCAAGTTCCACCCAGAGTAAGTGGAAATCTTTGGCGTCTCCTTCTCTCTGTGTGGGTGACCTTTTCATCACGAGAGAATGCTTATGTTGTTTATATTGCCTGTTCTGCTATGAAGTGGGAAGCTGACTCCACCAATGGAGTCTTTTTCTTTATTTTTATTTTTTGAGTCTTTTTCTTTAAAAGAAGACAAAGAAGGAAGTCCCTTGCTTAATAAGTATTGGTGCCACAGTATAAATAATTTTATCTAGTGAACATTCTGGGTGTTGTTTTTTAAAACTTATATATCTTGTAGTTTCAATTCTATCTTAAGCAAATAACAAAAAACTTGGTTTGCTCTAGCAATTTTGTTTTCTGGGCTAGATGTGAATGGTAGAATTTAGATACTTCTAGGCTATTTTGTTCTTATAAGACAGTGATGGCGAACCTTTTGAGCTTAGTGTGTCAGCATTTTGAAAAACCCTAACTTTACTCTGGTGCAGTGTCACATATAGAAATTTTTTGATATTTTGCAACCATAGTAAAACAAAGATTTATATTTTTGATATTTATTTTATATATTTAAATGCCATTTAACAAAGAAAAATCAACCAAAAAAATGAGTTCGCGTGTCACCTCTGACACGCGTGTCATAGGTTCGCCATCACTGCTATAAGACATCTTCTTAGGTATTTCCTACTGCTTCCTTTTTTGGAAAAAAATAAGTTCCTTAGCTGTCCCCTTTCCCCCCCCTTCAGTTAGTTCTCTCTCATAACCATATTAAGAGCTTTGAGTCTAGGTCCTTCCCTGCTGCTTTTAGCGAGCGTCATGCTCACAGCTGAGGCTGAACTTCCTATTCAGAGTTGACTTCAGTGTCATCAACATTCCTAGCGCATCCATGACTCCAAAAGATGACTGTGTTCTGAACAAATAAAGACCTCTAAAAGAGAGGGTTCAAAATAATCTTTGATCTCTGGTCCCACATTTTTATCTTATTCAGTTACTCAAATATTATGAAATGTTAGCTTTTATGTCTAAACTGAATACAGTTCCAATACATGGTTGTATTATAATTGTTTAACTATTCCTTATTAGTGGACATTAAGCTAATTTCCAAAATTTCCTATTTTAAACAACAGAGCTTTCATCATCCCATTAACTATAGTTTTGGCCATATTTACTTTCCTCAGGATATATAGCATCCAGTTGTCTGAAATTCCTTTTTAATTTATACTCTTACTATCACTGTATAAGTGTTTGATTTCTGGTATTTGACCAACACTGGATTATCACTTTAATATATATTTACATTTTAATGGCTAAATTTTATACTGTTTGGATTTCTTTCACTAAAGAGAATAAACACTAAAAAACCCCACAACCCTTTTAATTTTGATCAAAGTAACACATGCAAAATTTAAAAAGAAAATAGTAAAACAATCATGCTCTTCTACCATCTCTCACCCTTCTTCAAGTCCCCCCTTTCTGAAACAACCACTTTTAATTTTTTTGAACATAGTTATAATACCATTATTTTTAAATCAATAATCCATGCTTACATTATTATAACTATTTAAATGAAGCTGTTAGAATCAGAAAAAAATTTTTTTTCTTATATAGTTAATTTTTTTTTCCTTAGAGTTTTTTAGACATCTTCCTTGTAATAAAAATCCTTTATTTTAAGGAAAATATTCCATCATATCAGTTACTTTTTCTTTGAAGCTCTCTGTTTTTCTACTTCAAACAAACTTGATGTTGTTTAGATTTATTCTATAAATATTATCCTAGCACTTTTCTTTCTTTTTTTTTTTAAAAAAAAATCTTTATTGATTTCAGAGAGTAAGGGAGAGGAAGAGATAGAAGCATCAATGATGAGAGAGAATCATTGATCGGCTGCCTCCTGCATGCCCCGCACTGGGGATTGAGCCTGCAACCCAAGCATGTGCTCTTGACCAGAATCAAACTTGGGACCCTTCAGTCCACAGGCCGATGCTCTATCCACTGATCCATACCGGCTAGGGCCCTAGCACTTTTCTTGATTGCTTGCCTATGTAGAGTCATTTCTTGGAGTACATATCTTTCTCTTCTTTGGCTATTGTTTATTCAATGAGGTCATAGCCTTAAGAAACATCCTAAGAAAGAATATGTCAGAGGGAAGTTTTCTGAGTACTTACATGTGTAAAAATATTCTCACACTTGATGGATAGTTTAGCTAGGTATGGGTGTTTATTTGAAATTGCCATTTTCTTGCAGATCAAATTTGTGTGTTAATTGAAAATAATTATTATTTATTCTTTAATTAGTTGGATGCTTCACGTGTCCATTATAAACACTTGTCACTGCGTGCAAGTGTGTGAGAGACTTGAAAACAGCAAATATGTTCTTTAAAAATAGTTTTCATGAAATAACTTTTTAAATTAATTCTATATGAACTTCTCTCAAGTCAGTCTTATTTAAAGAAGTTTAATTTTAAAAATTGTTTTTTCAGGGGAAAGACGGATCCATTGTGGATGTGACGGTGATCAGAGGGAACCATTCTGCAGTTCTTTCCATGGCATTTACATATGTCCCTTCTTTAAATCCAGTGATCATGTCTCTGAGCAGAAACAAAAGTAACATAGCAGGTAAAATACATGATATGGAAGAATCTTTTATTATTAGGTTTTTAATCCCATAAAAGGGAAAACAATGGCTTCTACATTTTATTGAGCTTTGTTTAGTGTTACTAGAGGCCCGATGCACAAAATGCGTGCAAGGTTAGGCCTTTGCAGCCCTGGCTGCCTAGACCCTCACAGCCCTGGCCTCGTCTGGAAGGTCATCCGGACGGTCATTCCGCTGTTTGGCTGTTCGGTCGATTTGCATATTATGCTTTTATTATTATAGGCTAGGGGCCCAGTGGATGAATTTGTGCACCTTGAAAGGAACTGTGGGCCGCGAGGCTACGGTAGACACAGGGGCAGGTCTCGGCCCATCCTCCACGCCCCCGCCTGGCCCCTCCTGCTGCGGCCCCCGGTCCCCTGTCTGCTGGCAGCGGTGCTGGCCCCTCTTGCACCTGCTGTTGGCATGGAGTGATTGGGGCTGGCGCCAGCAGTGGGTGTGAGTGGGGCTGGCTCTGTCAGTGGTGTGAGCGGTGGCTGCTGCCCCAATCGCCCCTCAGGAGCAGGGGGAGGTGGAGAAGCCCTCAGTGGTGATCAGGGCTGGCAGCTGCCGCTTGCACCCGCTGATGGCGCTGAGTGATTGGGACCGGTGCTGAGCCCCAGCAGCAGGTGTGAGCAGGGCTGGCACCAGCAGTAGGTGCGAGTGTTGGGCAGGACCGCGCCGGGTGGGACTGCGGTGCGTGGGAGCAAAGAATTTTAAGTAACCACCAGAGACTCGCCCCAATGACAGTGTATTTGCATGTGGCCCGCAGGCCATAGTTTGAGGACCCCTGCGCCATTTGGTCTATTTGCATATTAGCTTTTTATTATATAGGATAGTTGGTATTGAAGTTACTTTTCTGAAAACTAGGAGACTGGTATTCTCATTTTAGTCATCATTGAATAAATCTCCTTATATATATTTTCATTCTGTAAAATTGTGAACATTTCCAATATGATAATGACATGGGAATTTAGAAGTGACAATTCAATAAATATTTATTGAGCACCTACTATGTGTCGATAGCACAGACATATAGCAGATTTTACTTACTGTCACTAATTTACACAATTATTAGCCTCCATTTATCAGAAAGGAAACGAAGGAACAAAAAGAATAAGTAACTTGTCTAAGATGTCATCTTTAGTAAGTAAAAGAGCTGGGATTTGAACCAAACTGTCTGGTTGCAGATTCCAAGCAGTTAGCCACTTATATAATTTACTATAAAATACTGTTTTGGGTGTCATATTCTATTATAGCAGTTATTTGATATGATTAAAGAATAGGGTATTCTGATTAGCCAAGAATTTTTGTTCATTGATACATACTATATATAAAAATAATGAATTCTTTAGCACACAACAATAATAGGCAATTTCATCTTTCTTTGGTAATTCAGATGACAGGATAGAAATATAATAATTTATTATCATGTCAGACCATATAGATTTGGGAAAGTACAGGTAACACACCTTTCTGGTTAATGGAATGCCAGATACTAGAAGGTTTATGGAAGCCATATATGTGTATTATAAAAGACCATCAAATATACCCCTGCTCCCCTAAAAAATGCCTGAAATCAATTTTTTTCTGGTACTATTTTCATTTTCCATTGCTCAAAAGTTCATAAATAAAGGGAAGTGTCCTTTAGCTCTCAATATTATTCAGCTCAGATAGTGCAGAAGAAGAATTTGCTGCCTCAGGCCACCAAAGTGCGTAAAATTCTTTAGTGGTATAGATTCTTCCCAAGGAAGTAGAAAAGGGAGGAGGAAGCTTTGTGTTCTATTCAGATTTCAGTGATTTTGGCTTTTAATAAAATTTCCTACCTATAATGAAAAGAATAAATACATTGCATCAGTGCCTGAAAGGCATCTAGGATTAGCTTGACAATTGACCAGGAGCCCAAGGAGTTCTTGTTATTGATATATACAACATGATGTGTTCTTTGCAGAATTTGCACTTGCATTCAAATCTTTCTACAGGCAGTAAAAGGAACATGCTATAAAATCCACAAAGAGTGGTAATCTGTTGGGAAGGCCTCTTTGAAAGTCGGAGTGTGACATATCTTCATCCAGGAGATGATTATGTTGATGGTGACATTGAAGCCAAGATGAAATCAAAGAAAGAGAGGGAGAGGGGTGGGGATGGGGCCAGATAATATGATGTAGAGGACCACTAGGGTGGATTTTTAGTCAGTCAGCTCTAGATATGAATGAATCCTAGTTCAACCATTCCATGGGCAAGATATTTAACTTCCTTTACCTTTAATTCCTTTAATTGTTAGGTGGGAATAATTCTTTCAAAGTTATTATAAAGTTGGAGTAAAGTAGGTAGAAGTCCCTAGTCCAGGAGCTGACATGGAGTAAGTACTCAAATGCTCTGTTACAGAGAATGCCGTCATTCTGCCAGATATTGTGTTATGTTCATGAGCCAAAGATGGCCTCTGCATAGTGGCCCTGTGTTCTTTACTTTTTCACAGCAGGTTGGGAGCCATTAGTTCAAGACTGCCAATGTCAAACCCAAATTTTGACATACCCAGTTATTTTCAATACTAGAGGCCCAGCACGGGATCGCGTGAGGAGGCGCCCCGCCTCCCCCTGTGTGAGGAGGCATCCTGGGGGCTGCTGCTGGAGTCAGGCTGGACCCGCGCCTGACTTCTGCCCCAGGCCTTCCCGGCCCCCCCTGCCTGTGTCTGCTCCGGGCCCATTGGAGCTGCCGCGCCGGCTCTGGCAGGCCCCCCCTGTGTCTGTCCGCTCGGGGCCTCACCTGCACGCTCAACCTCCTCCTGTTTGGTCGTGTCCCATTATGGCATCCTGGCCTAATTTGCATATTACCTATATATATGTATATGTGTATATGTGTGTGTGTGTGTGTGTGTATGTATATGTGTGTGTGTGTGTGTGTGTGTGTGTATGTATATATATATATATATATATATATATATATATATATATAGTACCCCAAGGTAGTTTTTTAGCTTTTTAGAGTCGGCCTACTTCACATACTCTATAAAACTACACACAACATCTGCTAGATATAGATAAGATAAACCTGGGAGCTATAAAGAACTCTAAACCACTGATGCCCTTAGGAGCTCTTTGACCCAAAGACTTCCCACCACACTGCTGGGTGACATCATGTAGACACGTAAACCCCTTTCTGATCACCCTTTCCCCCAGGACTTCCCTTGCCATCCTCCCCTTCTGGCTGGTGGTCCCTTATTATTGCCTCTGAGATTTCTGCATTTATGTGACCCTGTCAAAGCACCACCCATATACAACTCATTTTTCTGTGCTCTGCCACCTTGTGGTCATGTCTTTTTTCTTTCTCAACCCTGAAATTCCTTGAACTCACTAAACTCACTATATTGAGGCTTCAGACTTCACAGTATAAACAAGGCTGGGAAGACATGAAGAAGTAAAGAGGATGTGGATGAAGTTAACCGAGGGCTTTTGAATACTGTACTACACCAGAGGCTTTCCTGGGACATCTGACTTAATCCTTACAACAAACAACATGGGGTGGGCTCTGTTACTATCTTAATGATGAAACATCCAAGGCTTTGAGAGCCCGAAGTGAGTCACACAGGCAGTTAAATGGAAGAGCAAGGCTTTAAATACTCAACAAGCCACAACCCCTCCTTTTTGACATTTCTCTTTCAAGTAAATGTCCTCCTCTAATTGGCTGTGGTGTCCTATAGATGCCAGCCCTGTAGCAGTTCTCAAACATTAGCAGCTCAAGGAGCTTAAGAGATGCTTTCTTTAGCTCTAGCTGTGTCTCTATGGACACACCAAGATGTGGGAAAGACATATTTAATTACTTTCCCTCCTGCCACTGTATGCTTTATTTCTAGCTTTTGTTAAGACTCCAGTTGTCTGAGGAGTGGGTTTCCCCTCTCCTGTCTGTTTAACTGATCTTACAAATTGGAATAATAGCTTTAATCATATTCTTTCTTTGCATAGAAAACTGTGGAGGCCTCTACTGTCCAATGGATTGATTAAATAGAGAACCCTCAGGATAGGCTTTATCTTCAGCCATAAAACCACCATCAACTTGGCCTACCCTAGTAGAGTCCCTAACTGTACGTACATGCGTACATGCGTCTGGTCTTCCAGAAAGTCACCCACATCTCGTTCCTTCTCTCACAGCCACTGGATAATGGAATGCGAAAGTGTTACAAAGACTTGGAGTAAACTTGTGAAGTTTTTAGAATTGAATTGTAAATCCCTTCTTGTTTATATTGGCCTCTTGGGATTTAGCTTTCAAATTGAATTTCAAGCACTCTCTTGCCCATGAGGCCTTTCTTGATACTTTGAACATTGACCTCACTTCAACAACCCACTGCTTAGTTGTCACCTCTGGATGGTAGGTGATACAACTGAGGCTCTTTTGGCGCCTATTTTCCCATCTTTGAGGGCTTTTTGAGGGCAGGGTCTATGTGCAACTTATTTTTGTCGCACTGTGACATGTTAATCTTGGTACACAATGATATTTGAAGTAAAAGGCATTGAATTAGTGTGTCCAGAATATACAGAGCATTTCGGTAGAGTTGCTAATTAAACTAAATGCATCTAAATGTAAGAAGACTGGGCTCAGGCCTTGACATTTCCATTAATTGAGCATGAAACCTTGGTTGCTGAACCTTAGTTTCCTCAAAAGCTAAATGCCAGTCCTACTAACAGCTCCATCTGTCTCATCAGGATAGTGTGAGGATCAAATGGGATAACACACGCGAAAATGCTCTGTGAACTGTAAGTACTGTACTCACATACAGCATTAGTATGAGGTCCAGGGCACTCTAAAGATACAGCTTTAGACTTCTATCAGTAGAAAAGTGGAAGTTAAAAAAAGGGACATAGGTTACTATTTGTTGGTTATGAAGGCCATCCACCTGCCAAACTATTTCTGGATTTGCCTCTGCGTGAAGATAAATTAGTTTGCCTCTTGAGTACAATTGTCCTGACAACTTTGAGATTATACCTTTAGCTCTATAAAAGAATTGTTAGAAGTTTCATGAAAAAAATTAGGTTGGCATTAAAACTCTTTAATTGTGGTACGATGCACAGGGCTGACCATGTATTGAATAATAAAAGACAATTTTAGAATTGAAGAGGTGGCTGAGCACACAGACCCACATCACAGGGGCTAAGGAATGCTTTTCATACAGGAGGTGAGACCCTTTTCATCGGCGTGGCGCTGCCGGTGGACTGCTTGGATTTGCATGTGGAAGTCCACATCCAGGATTCCTTGGCTCGGGTTCATGCGGAGACTGCCCAGGGCCTGGAGGTGGTGCTGCCCCCGCTGCCGGCTGGCCTCCACAGAATCTCAGTCTCCATCAACGGGGTCAGCATTCGTGCACAAGGGTGAGGTCAACACTTGCCATTAATTTTAGGTCTGTTTGATGGTCTAGTGATTTAGTTAAGGAATTCTAGTTTTGAGTTAGGACTTTAATTTTTATTCTTCTGAAGTTGGGAAATAAACACATGAGAATCATAAAATTTGAAAAAATCTTAGAAACCCTACAGGAGAGTTCACTCTCAAGACCAATTCAGGGGAAACTTTTGGCTTACTAGTTTGGGAGCAGAGAACTTTCTAGAACTAAGATATCATGGCTCTTAGGAGGGGTGGGCATCTATATAGGAAGGAAGAAGATCCTCTGCTTTAATAAGGATGTGTATTTAACTAAGACCTTTAACAAGATTATGTCTTGGGCTTTGAATACATGGCTTATAATTATTACACAAACCATATTCATATCCACTGTGCCCTGAAGTCCCTCTGCCCAGTATTTCTCCAGAAGTTCTGTCTCCTCATTCCAGGAAGTTAGCTAAACTGCATGGGACTGATGTCACCACATGATACTGGCCCAGGAAAATGTCCCACCAAACATCTTTTCCCTACCATTTCTTTACTTCACTGTTAGGCAGTGTATTCACACTTGCTCTCCATCACCACTCTCTTCTCTTCCAAATACATACACTGCTTCTGTCCTGCTCCTTCCTTTCTAAGTCCTTTTCTAAGCCTCTCAGTTATTTCATAGCAGTCTCCCATTTTCTTCTGTAGGGTGGATCTTCACATCCAGTACTTCACAGAAGTTTTCAGCATCGAGCCTTGTTGTGGGTCCCTCCTGGGTGAGTGGCTGTGACATGACTGGTACCATTTATCCAGAGTGTATAATTCACTGGATACTCAGATTTCATTCCTGAATTCATTAACCAGTGAGATTAGAAATGAGCAACAGGGAGAGGAGTCCCTGTGCTCCAGGAACTGGGTGGTATACTATGAAGGCTGTGAAATCTCGGGGCATCCTTATCTCAGCAAGCTCAGGAAATTGAAGAGTTTTTAGGAAAAGGAGATGTGCCTGGCTTTCTTTTCCTAATAGAAAGAGGATAAAACATCTAATGGGTAGCACGTCTTGATTGGATATTAGACAAATAAGGCAATAGCTTCCTGCATTCATCCTTTAGATCCTGCACATATAAGAAGAAGAGGCATGAGGTTTGGTGTCTTCACTTTTATCTAGGGATGCAAATGAAAGACCCAGAAGTAGCCAGAAACACAAATCCCAACACGGGAGATATGAGGACAAGGCAAACAGAGAAACCTAGGAAATTATTTTCCCCCCAAAATGGAAAGCTATATGTGTGCATGTAAATAATCATTGCAATAGTGTATGAAATAGCACATTATTCTTTTTGAGTATAGTAAAATCCTTTTAAAAGCTACTGGGCTACTAGTATACTACAGATTTGGTAATGATATGGGGTGTATTGCTCCAACTCCTATCCTGAAGATGGTTTGATTGTCCCTCAGCTGGAGTGCAAGATGAAGTCTATAAATATAGCAGTAAATTCACAAGAATGTTCAGTGGCTCTTGATATGTCACACACACACACAACCCTATAATATATGGAATACTAAAATATTATATAGGATAATATAGATGGTAAATAGAAGACTTCAAGAGATTTGATGTTTCATGATTGTGTAAGTTGAATATATAGAATTCAACTTACACAATAATGCATATACTTCACAAAACAACATATAGAATAATATGAAATAATGTCAGATAATATGGCAGGTGATAAACTAAGGAATTTGGTTTTTCATTAATATATCAATTGTATCTAGGTTTATATAAAATATACATACACTCTCTCTACATAACATGATAATATAGACTAACATGCCAGATAATATAGCAGATGACAAGAACACTTTAAGAACTTTGATTTTTTTAGTAGTGTATAAGTTGATAGAAGTGGTGGCTTCTAGGATGGTATCAATATACTTGAAAATGCTATCTTAAATATTAAAACATTCTTCCTTTATAACAGTTTATATTGTTTTACTGTGTGTGAATTTCAGCCCATCTGATTCCTGCAAAAATGAATTTAACATTGATGAATTCACAAATTTAACATTGATGGGGTGAGGTGGTGTCATTGAGGTGTCACGAACACCCCACCCTCCAGTTAATTGCTCTGGGGCTTACATGGGTGTTGTGAGTTCCTGGTTCTGAATATCAGCCTTAATATTTTGTTTTTGGTTTTCACACTTTAGGTGGAACAATCCTCAGCATCGCAGGAGCAGGGTTCAGCAGGGACCCAGCTTTAATTTGGGTGCTTGTGGGCAATCGGTCCTGTGACATTGTGAACTTAACAGAGACAAATGTCTGGTGTGAGACGCCCACCCTCCTGCCGCCTGAGGCTCACGACCTCACTGACCCAGCCCCTGTGGAGGTCTGGGCTGGCAACAGGTCCTTCTCCCAGGCACCTGGACCACACCTGGTGGGGAAGGGCTTCACCTTCACATACGCGGTGGCAACAACGCCAATGGTCACTGCCGTGCGAGGAGAATTCACAAATAGCAGCCTGAGCCTCTACGTGGAAGGAAATAACCTCTCCAACTCAGAGATGCTTCTGGGGGACTTGAACTGCGACCTAGAGACACAGTCTTTCGGAAACAACGTGAGCCTGTCCGGGTGCTCCTTTCCTCTCCACGGTTTGGAGGCCGGTGTCTATCCCCTTCAAGTACGTCACAAGCAGATGGGCTTTGCTAACATGTCTGCAGTGCCCCAGCAATTTGTGGTGACACCGCAGATAATGGCCATCTCGCCAGCCAAGGGTTCTGCTTGTGGTGGGACGGTACTCACGGTGAGCGGGTTGGCTCTCAACTCCAGGAGGAAGTCGGTTCAGGTGGATCTTTCGGGTCCCGTTACTTGTGCGACTTTGAGCTTGGGGGACCAGACAATCCTGTGCCAGGTTGACCTGCTGGGCGACTCCTTGCCCAGTGCTTCCTTCACCCTGAACGTCTCAGTCCTGGTCAATGGGCTCCCCAGCAAGTGCCAGGGTAATTGCACTCTTTCCTTGAGCGAAGAGACAACTCCTGTCGTGGATGCCTTGACCACTAACATCAGTGGGTCTCTGACTTCAGTGCTGATTAGAGGTCAGAGGTTAGGCACCACAGCCGATGAGCCAGTGGTGTATTTGGATGATCATCTTCCTTGTACTGTAACCTTCTTTAATGCAAGCCACATCACATGCTGGATAAGTGACTTGAGCCCGGGACTCCACTACCTATCAGTTGTTCATTCAAGAAATGGGTATGCTTGTTCTGGTAACGTTTCCAGACACTTCTCCATTTTGCCTCAGGTGCTGGATTATTTCCCCAAGAATTTCAGCACACATGGCGGAGGCCTTTTGACCTTAGAGGGCACCGCCCTAAGAGGGCAGAACAGCACGTTGGTCTACATTGGGCAGCGGGCCTGCCTGATGGTGACCATCAGCGCGGAGCTCATCCAGTGCACTGTTCCTGCAGGGAATGGCTCTGCTGTCCTGGACATAGAGGTGGATGGACGTTCATACCAGATGGGAGTCATTGATTATAGCAGCACCTTCACCCCGGAATTGCTCTCTGTTTCTCACACTGGTGACGTCTTAACCTTTGTGGTGGCCCGGATCTCAGGAGCTGAGAACGTTGACATTTTTATTGGGGTATCACCCTGTGTGGGTGTCTCTGGCAACTGCACAGTTCTCCAATGCGTGGTCCCAGTCCTTGCTGCCGGGGAGTACCAAGTCAGAGGTTATGACCACATAAGAGGGTGGGCCTCATCCGTCCTGGTGTTCACATCGAGAGTTATTGTCACGGCAGTGACTGAGAGCTTTGGTAAGCCAGGCAAATAAGACAGAATGCTTTCTTTATGTAAGTGATTAATCGCTGCTCTAAGAGGTAGGAGACAACATCTATCTGAATGACAGAAGGAGAGAGAAGCCTGATTGGCCTCTTACAGTCCCAGTTTCCTCCGAAAGCTGCATGTGTGAGGTTATATTTTTCATCCAAAAAATTGTGCCTATTCTCTAAGTGTGTGATTGTATTTTAATTGGATGCTTTTACACAATTGAATTTGTGTGTTAAATTAAATAATACCATTTATAAGAGCTCATAATTTGATCTTTTAAGTAGAACATAAATGCCTATGTCTCAATTTGAATTAAACTTATTAAATGTGATTAATTTTTAGCATTTTATATATTTTACAGATGAATTAATACTCCACCAATAATAGGCCAACTGCCTACTATGATTGCATTGGTTGAACTTTTTTCTCCTTTTAGATGAACTGAAGTTTGCCTTGCCTTTTCTTCTAAGGATGGTTTTGGCTTTTGTTCACGTAAAGCCTTAATGCACTTGGGATAGCTCCAGTTTGATTGGGCTGCAGAAAGTACAGAGGAAATTGTGGGAGCTGAAACTTTGATGCAGTTCTAGCCAAGCCTTTTCTTAGAACAAATTTGTCCGGCTTCAGCCGGGTGGGATGCTATGGGGATTGGGATTTTGATCCCTAGTATGTCAGTAACTTAGCTGGGCAACCTTCTAAGCTTCAGCTTCCTCATTTGAAAAAGGGATTTGGGTTGGATGCTCCCTGGTTCCCCTTTCTTCTAAGATTCCATGATTTTTATAGCAAGAAAGCAGAGGTATGAAAGGCATGATAAGCAAAGTGTTGTTCTTGAGTTTACCAGGTGGCTGTGTAAGTACCACCTAGGCTTGCTATGAAGGCAGTAGAAACTCGAACTCTTTCTCAGCATGGACTAGACATTGCACGTGTCTGAGAGTCCTGGTGACATTTACCTTTATTGCTTCTCAAACTGAAGCAAAACGTGTCTGTTAACAATTGTCAAACTTTTACCCATTAGAGACAGGCACTGTCATACAGTGCTGTAGAAGTGTAAACTCATGCAACATTATTTTGGAGAAAAATATGGGAATATCCATTAAAACTAAAAATTTACGTTTCCTCTGACATAGAAATTCCACTTCTAAGAATTTGCAATAATTTTATTTAAATAAGTGTACTGTTCATTGCAGCACGTGAATTATAGCAAGAAAGGATAAATAATGGAAGTATCAATCAATAGGAAGATTGCCGAATAAATTATGGCATAATCATATGATGAAATTCTAAATAGCTATTAAAGTGATGAGTTAAGTCCTTATATATAGACTTGGAAAAATGTCTATGCTATTCCTTTATAAAACAGGTTATATAAAAATATGTATAGAAAGATCCTTTGAATAAAAAATAAGTATGCTTAGAAAATTCTAGAAGGATTCACAAGAATCTCTATACATAGCTACTTCTAGTGAGTGAGATAGTTGATTAGGGAAACTTTTACTTTATTTTTTATAAAAACTTAAAGAACTATAAAGAAGCATTACTGCCCTAGCCAGTTTGGCTCAGCGGATAGAGCATCGGCTTATGGATGGAAGGTCCCGGGTTTGATTCTGGTCAAGGGCACATATCTCCTTTGCAGTCTCAATCCCTGGCCCTGGTCGGGGTGCATGCGGGAGTAAACCAATGGATGTGTCTCTCTCACATCAATGTTTCTCTCTATATCTCCCCTTCCTTTCCACTCCTAAAAATCAATGGAAAAATATCCTAGGGTGAAGATTAACAACAACAACAACAAAAGAAGCATTACTTTTCTATATGAAAATTACTACATTTTTATAGGTTGTTGACTATGATTGGGGTCAGACAGACAAGGACTCTGGCTTAGTGAAAATAAGCTGAGGGAGGCTGTCAGGGGCCCGAAGCCAGCTGTGTGGGTTCTGGGGGTGTAAAAAGAGTGACAAGCAGCAAGGAAGTGTGAATTTGAATTGCGAGTTAAGTAAAGAAAGAGATCTGCCTCTATGATCGTGCATTTGTGCTTGTGTTTTGAAGGCTGCCTGAGTGGACGGCTTGTGCATGTGTTTGGAGCAGGATTTTCTCCAGGGAACATCTCAGCTGCTGTGTGTGATGCTCCCTGCCAAATCCTGGCTAACGCTACAGTGTCTGCCTTCAGCTGCTTGGTTCTTCCCCTGGATGGTCAGTAAAATGCCGTATGTTTTTAAGAGAGTATATATGAGAATGATATTCTTTGGTTAGCCCCATTTTTGTGATTAACGCTGTGTTCACGTCTAATTTTTCTGTATTCCTGGGAAAAGAATTTCTCTACTTCCCATCTAAAATGGTAGCTAGAATCAAGGACCTTGTATTAAAATAGTTCATAGTAAGTTTTGTCATATTAATAGCAACAAAAATTGATCACCTATGTTCTTGATTGCAGTCATATGATGATGGAGAAAGTAATTTGGAGTTCTAGATATTGGTTTCAATGACAGCCTTAAGTATCATGGAGAAAACAATCTCTTGGTCTCTGTCTGAGGTGGGGCTGTTAAAAACATCTGGTTATTCCAGGTACTAGAGAAGGGATCAGGCCATCAAGCTATTTCTCGCATATTTGCCTAATGGCTGAGTTCTTGAATTCTTATTATAGGCAAAAGAGCCAACATTAACATCATCCTCTTATTCTGCAATGTTCAGGCAATTACTTGGGCCCTTACTCAGTAAAACATCATGATCTCTCACTGTTTTAAGCTTCTTAGGAAGGTGCAAAGCTTTGATAGACCCATGATAGGGCTTTACAACACAGGGTGTTTACCCACTGAGCTTTACAAAGAAAAAAGACAAAGGAAAGAAATTGCCATTGTCACTACAGGAACAGCTTAGCCAGGTGGTTATCTTATTTGAGTAATCATAGCTATTGTACCTATGAACTGAAAAGCCATTTTTACACCTGCTCTCTGTATAGTGCTATAAGTTACATTCCTAGCATGTGTCTGTACCTTGAATGCCATGCAGGTTTTACAAAGCATTGTTTCATCTGAGCTTGAGAAAAAATTCTAAGATGGATAATATTGTGATGCCGATTTGCATTGGGTTGTCTTACACAAGAAGGAGGAAGAGGAGCAGGAAAAAAGAAAAGAAGAAACCATTCTTACTTAAAATGCTAGAAATTGAGTTTCTATATCATCATATAGTATATAAGCAGAACGTTGTGGAGGAGACCTATGCTACTTAAAATTCTACAGTAGGAAGCCAAATAAATTTAATTCCACAGTGGGGAAACTTAAGATACAGTAAAAGATTTAAGTTTAAGATGTTTTCTGTATCATTTTTTTCACTCTACCTTCTATGCATAGAATAGTGCTGGCACAGTGCATGTGCAAAATCAATGCTTGATAAAGGAATAAATGAAGGAATTAAGAAACCATGGGAACAGAAAATCAAGACTCCACATTTTTAGGTTTTAATATTTAATAATAATGCTAACTTTTTAAAAAAGGCTTTCATATATACACTGCTTAAATTAATTAACTTTTTAAAGCCCTGTGGCATTATTTAAAGACATTTGATTTCAACTAGAAGTCCAAGATAAAAACCACCGAGGTTCCAGGGTCAGGTAAATTGTGGTATTGAAAGTGTGACAACTCCTACAGGAGAAATAATAGAAATTATTTTTATTTTAAAAGATTTAATGAAGTTAGAAAAGGACTTAACATTCTGTATTTTTAAAAGAGGAAAATGAGTTGGAAGCTGTAACTCTTATCATTGTCACTAGGTGTCACCAAACACTCATTGATTGTGCAAGAGCTGCTAATTTACTCTAGGGAACTGGACTTACTTTCTTCTTTCATGAAAAGAAAAATAAAAGGTAGAAAAACCCCACTCTTAATGACAGTATCCAAAGATGGAGAGGAACTGATAAAAACCAACTCCATTGCTTCTTTGCTTGAGATCCAGTGTGGTATTTGGGGATTCTATCAACTCCCTGAAACTGGTGAAAACATTTTGAGTATATGATTGTGAATATTTTTTCCTATGCAAATAGGTCTATAATGGACATGAAATAGTCAAAGGGAGTGTCTCTCACAAATTATTAGAAGGTACTAATAATTTCCCTACTTGCAGATAAGATTGCGTGTAATCATTTTATATTTTTATATAAATTTATGTTATATTTAAAAATTTTGTAGAGGACTGTTTCACAAGCAGCTATGATGTGCACTGACCACTAGGGGGCAGATGCTCCAACCGGTAAGTTAGCTTGCTGCTGGGGTTCGGACCATTGGGACTGGGTGAGATGGGGCAGGACATGCCCTGGAGCCCTCCCACAGCCCCTTCCGCAGTCCCTCCCCAGCCACCAGCCCGATGGCCCCAATCTCAGCCAGGTGGAGGGACCCCACCCGTGCACGAATTCGTGCACTGGGCCTCTAGATGAGAATAATAACATTGCTATTGTTTTTGCTGGAGCAGTAACAGCAGCATCACCTGGGAATTTGTTAGAAATGCAAATTCATGAAACCCACTGGATTTGAAACATTCCAACAAGTAGCTATTTTGGTATTTCACTTCTGAGCTCCCTCTGAATTCTGACATTCTTTCCTAATTTGAAGCTCCAAACTAGGTAACTCCTCTGTGTAAGCAAGTTCTGACAATATTGGGTAGCATCATAAGATGCCTACATATAATCTGGTCTCATATTTGTTTTAAAAATTACACTGCTGCTTTGCTGGTTTATAATCTCTCTGTTACTATTATTCCCAGGTGTGTGTTTTTTTTCTTTCTTTGTAACATAACTGTGCACAGCTGGAATTTCCTCATCTTATATTTATATAATTTCTTTTTTTTCCCTGTGGTTTACTGCCTTACTATTTTCATTTAGTCTTTTTGTTTATTTCTCTTAACTTCTCTAATTTGCTAAGGTCACTTTGAATTCTGACCCTTGCTTTGAGTTCTGTTTCTTAGTTTGACTTTGCATAATGAAGAAAGCAATGTTTCAGATTCTGGGATGCAGATGATGGCTTAGAACCCAAACTTTCCTAATTATTGTTTTGCTTATTCTGATACCACAGCACAAATGTGTTTTCTTTTCATCAGTAGAGCAGGGGGTTTAAAGGTGCCTCTCTAAAAAGGTGTTTTTGTTTTTGTTGTTGCTACTTTTGGTATTCTCTCTCTTTGCCTTTCTCCCAAACTGTGCTTCTAACATAAAAAGAATTTTATTTTGTTCTTGTGATGGGCTTCTAAAACATCTTGTCAGGTGAAACTGGTACTTTTATTTATAAAATCAGCAAGATGTTTGATCTTTGGCTTTTTTGCTCTTGTACCTTGAATTATACTACATGATGTTTTCATGGAAACTTTAACTTTTCCATGAGGCAGGAAAAGCTAAAGTTATTAAGGTTACACCACTATTTAGTGGCCCGAACCTTGAGTAAAATCCATAGATTCTGATCCCAGCCCTGGGTAACTTTTCATCATCCACGTTGTTAATTTGCATCCACCTAATCACCCATAATGAGTTCATTATTTTATAGGTGTTGAACCTGTTTTTATTTGCCCTAGGGCTTACTAACTGGAAGTTCTCATGTTTCCTCTACCCATAGGAGTCTTACTAGTACTTGCCAGCCATTTCAATGGCTGTGATTCATTCAGGACACATTCACAGACAATCTGCTATGTGGCGGATGCTTTGGAATATAACAACAACAATAATAATAATATGTGCATGTGATTGCATAAGTGCAAACCCTCTCACATGGACTTATCTCATTTGTCCCTGTTTCATGCAGCAGTGTGATGGAGACAGGTCTTAGGTTCAAGCCCACAGTTCCTGATAATATTTGTCGTGTACCTGCATGGACAGACTACCTGTAGAGGTAGAAGGCTAGAGAAAAATTTTCTTATTTCTTCTTTATTTCATTCAGGTTTTTAGATAGAGCTGCTCCAAAACCATCTTGTGTAGAGATTAATCTTCCTGTTTAAGGTTATTGCCAATCTGCCTTGTTGATGCTATAAACATTGTGTCTTATGACCTGAAAAGAAATGGCCTAGGGGTCAAAGGGCTTCAAATAATTGCTTTTCTTCTTTACAGAAGGTTAATAATCATAATTATAGGAAAATCAGGGACTTCTTTTAATCAAGAGATCCCATAAAGAGAATGAAAAGTTTAGCCACAAACCTGGAGAAGGTATCAGTAGCTATATAACCTCCATAGGTTTAGTACTCAGAATATATAAAGGACACAAAATAATAAGAAAAGATAAACATTCCGATAGAGAAAAGGACAAATGACAGAAATAGGAGTTTCGTAGAAGAGAAAACGTGTTATTACCTAACTTGTAAAAGTTGTTTGATAAAAAAATTGATAAAAATGCAATTTAAGGCTGCAATGAGGTGCCATTATACACTCACCGGACTGGCCAAAATTAAGAGTCTGATAATCCCAAGTGCTGGCAATTATGTGGAGTAGCAGGACCTCAAAATTATTGCTGGTAGGAATGGAACATGACACAACCACTTTGAAAACAATGTGGCTCTATCTTGTAAAGTTGAACTTGCACCCACCGTATAAACAAGCACTTGGAAGGCATATAGCCCAGAAAAACTTTACATGTTTGTAGAAGCAAAGACTAGCAAATATCCAAAAGTCTATTAGTAAGAGAAATGAAAACCATATTATATATTCACACAGTATAGTATGGAACAGCAGTGAAAATGTATGGACAAGGTCGATGGGGGGAAAAGGAGACATATGTAATACTTATAAAGAATTTTAAAAAAGAAAAGAAAGGATGGGCAACATTTACATGTGATAATATAAATAAATCTGGAAGTATAATACTGAGTGAAAAAATCAGGTCCAAGAATACTATGCCACATATTCTATTTTATAAAATTCAAAAACAGGTATAACCCAATAATCTTTTGTTTGCGAATAGAAAGCCACGTGAGAAAACTGTTTTAAAAACGCAAGTGGTTGTTTCTGAGAATGAAGAGGAAGAGGGTTTACTTGGTGAGGAGCATCCAGATTTGAGAGTATCACAACTCTTTTAGATTTTGTGTTGGCTGGCAGATTCACATGAATTTTTCTTACGTTGTTTCATATTTTATAAAAAGTTTTACTTATATTCTGTGGGTATTATGTACACATAATACATTTTTAAAGAAGTAAACTGATTATTTTCCTCTTAGTTAACGGATAACACATGAACTTCATTTACATAACAATGTGAGGCCTCCAGTTCTTTCCGTGGTTATTACCTCACCTAACGGTGACCATTTCCTGCAGTGTCCCTGGCTTCCCTGTGTGACCTGAAGCATGAGCAGGAGAGCTGTGAAGCCGCCAGTCACACCTACGTGCAGTGTGATTTGACTGTCACTGTGGGGGCAGAGAGACTGTCCGAATCATGGTCTTACCTCTACATTTGCGAAGAAAGTTCCGATTGCCACTGGACAGAATCAGCCTTTCCATTGTTCTCAGGCCTCTTCATCAGGTAACCCTGTGCTCTCCCTCCCTGACCTTCCCCACGAATGCATGGCCAATGGACTGATGAGGCGTCAGAGACTGCAGGCTGGGTGGAGGTGGCTCTGGGGCCCCACACTCTTGTTAGAGGAACTGTTCCATTGTGGATTCCAGTCTGCATATCAAAGCATCGCTTGTCTTTTCAAGTGTTCAGGAGAACATCTGAAAAATCTGCCCAGTAAACAGCCTGCTTTGTTCTTGCTCAGATTTTAATATTTATCTTCCGATCCAAAGCAACATCTGGTAAATGCCAATGGGGAGAGAGATTAGACATTATGAAAAACAGAAGGCTCTTTTCCCCTTTCCTTTTTCTTTTCTTTCCAAACAGATTCACAAGTATGACAAAAAGTCATAGAGAAATCCAGCAGATTGCACAATATTTACTCAAAAGCAGGGAGGATGCACAGGCAGGATGATTGTAGATCTAGGATTTCAAAGCCATAGCTTATCAGGATTTTTTGAACTTAAGAAACAAATAAACAAATACCACAACTTTCCAGGTAAAGCCCCTTCCTTAAAGAAATTTAATGAAACAGGTGTGACCAAGTTGGAAACTCTGTATGGCCTTCATTTCCACAAGCAGTTTCTTTCCTGTGTGGTGGGACTTTTCATTGCTGAGCATGGCCCTGTATCCTTCCTAACTTCTTATTTGGATGGAGTGGTTACATCTGATAGTGTATGAAGGCCTATTTTCCCATTTTAAAAAAGAAAACTATACAAGATCAATTACCCAGCATGAAAGAGGTGACTGGTTCTTTTCATGGCCATCCTACCATTCCATGTCTTGAGACTGTGATTTAGCATGAATTTGCCACCGGAGGTTTGTGTTTAGTCAAGGAATTGGCTGGTTGCTTTTTAGAAGAGCATGAAGAACTCTGTTTAGGTCACATAGGAAATGGGGTCCTAGAGGTTATACTCAGGGGAGACTGGATTTCAGAACTCACTGCTGCTGGACACCAAGATGTACATGTCACTGCCCCTGGCTCCATAGAATTGGCAGACTTGACCTAGATCCCCAGAGCGATTCCTTTGGAGTTATTCTGTGTTCTCCCTCCTCACTCTAGGAGGTGGCTGAGGCTACTGAGCTTCAGACCCCATTAAAATTTATGCCCTTATCAATATCATTTTGAAAGTGCTACTCAATGTTCTTGATATAACAGCAGGCAATAGTGGATGTGATTTCTTGAGTAAGAATGAATATAAGTGTTGTGAGTTAAACAAAGTGTGTACTTAGTATTGAGGGTGAGGGGGACCAGCACTGCTCTTTGCTGCCAAGAAGGAAAGTTAGAACAATCTACAGAGATCATTTGGACAGTATGCACTAATAACCTTAAAATTCTTTGTATTTGGAGACTCAGCAATTTCACTACTAGGATTTTATTTTAAGAAAGCAGTTTGAAGTATGTAATATTTATGAAAACATGTTCTTTGAAGTTTTAAGTATCATAAAAATTTGAAATGAAATAAGTGTTCAATAATAAAGAATGCATTCAAATGATAATATACTAAGGAAACCTTTGAAAATCATGTTGTAGAGTATTTAACCAAAGAGGGGCATGCTTACAATATATTGGAAACTGAAAGGCACAAGTCACAAAATAGTGTACTATCTATTCCTAATGGTGTATATAATGCATATATTTATATATGCATGTGATAGGTTGCTGGGCTGACCAGCAGACTTTGAATGACCAATAAATGGTTACTTTACTTTGACACACGTTTCTGTGAAAGAGAAGCTAAGGGACTAGTTGGCATTAGGAGCTAAAAAAGCCTTGATTACCTGCCTTATTAGCCTTTTATTGTCATAATAGTTTGAACTAAAATTAACTATTAGATACAATTAGCAGGGTAGGTATTCTTGAGAAAGCATATGTGTCCTGTCCTGTCCTTTAAGCAAGGCCATGTCTAAGTAAACACCCAGGGGCTCAGAGTTGTTTGGAAAAGTCAAGGCAGGGACTGCTACCTTCGGCAAGTTCCCCTCAGAGGCCTCCACCTTTCGGAGAATCCTTCTTACAGACATTCCAACCAAGTCCCGTGCTTCCCTATCATAGGTGATTAGAAAAAAGACTGGAAGGATATATTCTACAACATTGAGAGTGCCTATTCTTGGGTGGCTGTAGCACTGGTCATGTTTATTTTAGTCATTGAGTTTTTATGTATTTTTTTTCAGTGAACATGTACTAATTTAAAAACCAGAAAACATACTCTAAATTATACAAGGGGCATTAAGAAAGTCATGTGCCAAATAGCTTACCTTGGTTTCTCTTAAGATTATGCCTGTGAAGCCAGAGAACTACTTTCTAGGATCTTAGCAGGGGACCCATTTCCATGAAATGCTTTATCCCCCTGCCAGTCACTACAACTATGGATTTGATGTCAATTGACAAAGGTAGACATTCATATCTGTGGTGAAATATGCCTAGTTCATCCGTCTGTCCATCCGTCCATCCATCCATCCATCCACTCGCCCACCCACTTACCAAGTTCCCAATATGTTTTAGGTACTGTGTCAGGAGCTGGTCACTCCATGGTGAAGAAGGCTTCAAAGTTCCTGCCCTTAAGGGTAGAAGAGAAAGCCAGACAATAAACAGTACGATCCCATCTTGTGATAAGGAGTATAAAGTGATGGAAAATGGTGGGGGCTACTTTATACAATGTGCTCAGAGGATGCTGCTCTGAAGAAGTGCGTTAAGTGCTGGACTAAGGAGAAGAAGGTGTCATTATGCAGAGTCAGGCAGTGGGGGTAGCAAATGCAAAGGACCCATCAAGTTTTGTGAACTGTCAGAGGACAAACAGCAGTAGAGTGGGGAGGAAGGAAAGTGGCTCTACATGAGCTCAGGGAGATCGGTAAGGCCTTGAACGCCATAAAAGGAACTTAGATTCTATTCGAAGAACAGATTAAGTTAATTAAGTATCTTTCCAAAGTCATGGAGACAAGCCTCAGCAGTGCCAGGACCGGAACCCAAGGCTTCTGACTCACAGTGTGCTTAGCACAAGGCCCTGCTGTTAGCAGTTGGCTGGACTGTGTGGGTTCAATGAGATTTCAGAGCCATAGGAAGCAATTTCAGGCTAAGTGAGGAAGATAGAATGATGCAAGTGCTTTTTATTGCCTGTCCTAAAGAGTGCATACAGGAAGATAACGGGGTTACTTTTGGATCTGATCGGACCAACTGAAAGAGTAATAGGTTAGTGGTCAGAAAACTTAGAACTTTCTGTGCTATCATTTGGACCAAAAATTTGTATCATGTTCCCTCACAATAAATATATGTGTATGTGTGCATGCACATCTATATAATTTATATCCATGTATCTCTATCTATACACATGTTTATACTAATATTTAAATCTCGCCAACTGCACTACTTAATTCATAGGATTATTATGACAGAAAACATGGAATAGTAGCTATTAAGAAACTTAGAAATTTTGTAGATGTTAGATTATTTTTAATATCCTGGAGTTTCTGCTAATTTTGATGATGGCTTTTTAATGAAGAAAAATCTCTAGTGAGATAATTAGGAACAAATACAAAAAGAAATATGAGCTAAAGCTTGTAAAAAGAAGTCTAAGCTAACAGAAAAGAGTTTTAACTTTTTTGGAGCAAGAAGAACCTGATTAGGGAAGACAGTGCGTTGCTACAGGCAAATGAAAGGAGGGAGAAGTAACTGACAAAGAGCTAGAAAGGCAGAGAAAGCTCATCAGGAGGGTGGAAGCCAAAGACCAAGAAAGTTGTGAAAGAAGTTGGTCACTGCTTTCCTTGAGTTCGTGTCGGTATGCCAGATCATCCCTATACTGAGAACAAAGACCTATGTCATATGATTGGTAATCAATGTGACAGGAGGGCACACAACAGAGAGAGCTGAAGGGCAAATATTCTTTTATTTGATTAAAAAGGGAAAAAGGGGAGTTCTGGATAGTTAGATAACTAAGCTTGATTATCCCTGACGAATTTCTAGAACGAATTATTCATCAGATGGTTTGTGAGCCTTCAGAAAGGGAAGTAGCTATCTGGGAATCAACTCACAAGGAATGTGATGGTGTGGTGGACCGACTTCATTTTCTTCTCAAACTGTTCCAAATACCCTCTCTACCCCCAGTAGCAAAGGAAAGGTTCTAGCCATAAAGCCCAAGGACACAAGCAGCCAGTTGGTTTGAAGTTATATGTTTTATTTGAACAGTCCAAGTGAATTTTGCATTCTATTCCATCCTATTTCCATATTCATCCAAATATTACATTACATTTTAATTTAAAAGTTAAATTACCATTTTTTTCGTTCTGATTCTTAGAGTACAACCGACACTCCAGGAGCAAATGCCGTATTTATCCCATGGTTCTGTCTAACCCTGGATGATGACTCAGCTAAATGTATTTGTAGCTACATTATACGCTCCAGATTCAAAACATATTTGAGCAATGGCTCCACATAATGGAGATGACATGTACCAATAATGAATGTAAATTAACACATTTATACTTTAACAAAAATACTACCAGCACAATTACCAGTATAGCGTGAGTGGCCTTATCTGACATTTAATGTGTGCCAGATTCTGTGCAAGTCATATTGTAGGCGTCATTTTGCTCCATTCCCTCAACACTTTTATAAAATAGGCACATAGTAATTAGGATCTCCCTTTTACAAACCAAAGCTTAGAGGGTCATGTCTTCACAGTGTCCTATAGATAGTAACTATATGCTTGGGGATTCAAATCTAGCTGGTCTGCTCCCAAGCTTAGCTTCTGCATGCAGATGCTTTTCAGAAAATCAGGTGGACAAGTACAGCATGGTACATCCTCAGGCAGTTGCCACTCTGAGACTTTGAGTTTACCACCATCTTAATTTAGGCATGGGGCTACCAAATCAACAGGGAGGGCTCAGATAAAGGGAGCCCACAGCCTCAGTGGTCAGCCCAAACCATGTGTGTTCAGTTCTGGGCCCCAAGATGTTAACATACTGACAATCTACGGTAGGTTAGAGGAGAGTGGGCATGGAAATCACGTCTTGCGGGGGATAGGGAGCTGGGAATGTTTTAGCAGAAAGAAAAGATTAAGTAGACATGGTAGTTATCCTGCTCATTATTTTTAGCAAATTGTGGGAGCAACCGTTTTGACATTGATTTGAAAAAAGATGCTCTAGTCTGACATGATTTAGTTTCTCAAGCAGTGACCTCTTGCCCTTTCTACTGCTCTTCCTGGTCTTCCCATGCAATCTGTCTTCATGGCTGACGTTCAGTCAGCATCTCAGAACCTTAGAATACTGCTCTAGGAGACAGGACACATAGGTTCTAATCTCAGAGCTGCCATACTTTTATGATTGGCTTTATGCAAATCCCCTGATCATTTTGGGTTATATTTTTTATACTTCTCCTTACTTTACTGGCTGAAATGAGATCATACATGTGAAATTGTTGAAAAGTTTAAAATATCACGCATTAATAATCTTTGAGTTAGTTGTAACAATGCCTAAAGCCAGGATTATTGTTGAATAAATATCACACCTGTTGGGGACAATGTCCTGCAGTATCCATGCGCTCAACTCCCTTAGAGTGCATATTTTTAGACTTTCTGCAATGCTGTTTTTCATTTTAAATGCAGTCTGGTTTCTCTCCTTAAAGCAAGAGGACTTTTAAAGCAAGTGGCTGGTAGTATAACTGGCACATATATCGAATCTCCTTAGTCTGGGCTGTTAAGTAAGTTTAATTAATTTACTAAGTTAATGTTCCACTGCTAGCAACAGAGCCTCATTGCCATCAGCTGGGGAGAGGGAATTGAAAGCCTAAATGAGCTCATTTTTTCACAGTTGGAATTAGGGACCAGTTAGCCAGTTGTGTGGGTTTTCCAATTTCTCCATCTGCCCTCGGGGGATTCAGGCAATTCACTCCCCCAACACTAAGTGTGAGTAAGAACAGGAAGAGGGAAGGGGAAAAGAAAAAACACACACACACACACACACACACACACACACACACACACACTTCCCTAACATTTGCTTCCATTTTTGGAACTGGAAGCATTGTTTGCACATTGCTTGTTAAGTTGGGCTTGGAGAAGCTTTTGCTAATGTTCCTGATAGGTTTGGAAAAAGAGAAAGGCTGAAAGATATTTACCACGTGCATTTTCATTGCAGGGTGTGCAGATAAAGGGAAAACAAATAAACAATAAAATAATGGAAACAAAATTACAGAAATTTGCAAAATTTGACAAATGGCGGCCTGTAGTTGCCACAAGCTAATGGCTCGCAATGATTAATAAGAGTAAAAATAATTGCATTTCATTAAGATTGATGACACCCCATTTAACCTCCCCTCTCGTTTCAGCCCTAAAGTGGAAAGAGATGAAGTTCTCATCTATAATAGCTCCTGTAACATTACCATGGAAACTGAGGCAAAGATGGAGTGTGAGACGCCTAATCAGCCAATTACCGCCAAGATTACTGAGATACGGAAAAGCCGGGGCCAGAACACTCAGGTATAATCAAATCTTTTTTACAGACTGATTCAAACAGCTCAAATTTAATTTGTAATATTGTGTACATTAAAAAAACAATTTAGTCCAAATGGCAGCAATATATAATATTAAATGCTCTCAAACTTTGAGGAGCTGCTCTAATGCACAACATCTGAATTCATAGTTAACTATAGTTAATCATATATTTTCTCAAAAATAAATGAATGCTGCCTGGGTTCTCTTAAAACAAATTCTGAACAGATAATCTCAGCATTTTGTCCTGCTTTCTGGGTGCATGCTCAAAAGGGGCTTTCTGTGGCTTATTTCCTCATGAAATAAATGGCTTACAATTTAACCAAGTGCTTCTGGAAGATTTCCAAATTATTCAGCCATCCCCCCCTGTCTGCTGGTCCATCCAGTTCATCTCTGTTCTGTGGAGAATAGAGTGGAAATTTCAGCTTTTGAGGAAATTACATGCAAATTAAAATGGAAAAGTTCTACCAGGTCATTTCGTCTGTCTTCTCTACCTCAGTTTATCCTTTCTGAAATCATCTAAACCACCCCCTTCAAGGGCCTCTCCAAGATACCATCTTAAAAGTCCCCAGTGAGAGAGTCCACAGCTTCCCCAGGGATTTTTGTGAACTGAAATCAGACTAAGAGCTCTTTGGAAATACATCAGATTATCTTTCACAGCTTCCCAGGCTTCTCACGGCACACCTATAAAATATAACATTTCTTGAGCACCTACTCCCTTAGGTGCCTTCCTCTTTATGAAAGCAATTCCCACATTTTTCTCTTTTTTGTCTCTTTTATTGGGAACAAACATTTATTGAATGCCTATTATGTGCCACACATGATAGCAGATTCTCTTGCGAAAGCTGCTTCAGTTCAATCTTCTAAATTCTAAGCTATACTTCTTGAGTTTGTAAGGCATGTTTTTTCTATAGCTTTTGGACTGGTGCTGAAAATGTATGCAATTACAAGTAATTTTTCTGTCTTTTCTAAACTGTTTCCTGTCTGTCTTCCCTTCCCTCTGGAGTCTCCCTTCCCATTTTATCACCTCCCCGGGCTTCTCATGTCCCTTGCCTTCCCTTCCCTTCCTTTCCCTTCCCTTTTCCCTTCTCCCTTCCCTTCCCTATTGCACAGGGCTGTCACTATTTCCTTGTGTCCCCCAACCCAATACACCTCTTCCTTTTAATTCATTGCCAAATTTAATTCTTCATCTCCAGCACGATGGTGCTCTAATTGCAGTCTCCACTTCACCCTGTGCCCCTCTTCGTCAGGTGACTGTCAGGGATGGCTGGAAGGTTTGTTGGAGTGAGGGGGACTGTTGAATCGGTGCTGTGTTGTGTGTGGAAAGAGAGTTGTGGGCTCAAGACGAGCTGTGGGACACTAAGCAATCTTTAGACCTTGTGGGGTCTCAGTTTCCACCTGGTTCATGACCTGGTGTTGTTGGGATGCTCACGTGAGCAAACGCCAGTGAAAGGGAGGAAGAGGGGGTTGCACAGTGGTGAAGTGTGGGCTTTGGATCGAGACTGTTGGGTTTGAATGTATCACTTATCTGAGTAACTGTAGGTAAGTTACGGAACCCCTCTGTGCTTCAGTCTTCTCATCTGTAAAGTGGGGTAAGAATAGCACACCCTTAATAGGCTTGGTGTGAGGATTCTAACACAAGAGCCTTTGCCACTGAGAATTACACCAAACGCCATTTAAAAATGTCTGTTGGCCATTATTGACTGTGCTAGTTTGCTAGAAGCAGTTCTAGAAAATGATGCAGAATTATTTTTCTGTAGTGTTTGCCGTTTTGACCAGATCACTTCATGTGTTAGATTTTATCTATTTTTTCACTGTCTCAAAGGCTAATTTTGAATTTTTGAGGCCTAAATGCCTCAGCCATCTTTAAATATTTATTCAGTATGCATTTATTGAGTTCTAACCATGTTCAAGGTCCTCTGCCATACTCTGAATGAGGCAAAAGTAACGTGGTTACTTTCAACAATAAAGATAATTTAAAACAAAACAAAACAAAAAAACAAATGACATGGAAAGAGACCCCACCTTCAGGGGATAGTAGGGAAGAGAGGCCATGTATGCAAGTAGGTAACCTTCAAAGGACACACAGTGTCGATTCATCACAGCTGGATGAAATGTTGGATGCCATCTGGACCAGTCCGTTCATTGGTGAGAAGAGTTAACTGAGCTACATAAAGAAAGATGACCTGAAAAAGGCCACAGCTACTAGTTTTGCATCATAACACATGTGGTCTTAAGCATTGTGGGGAAGTAAGCCATTTACTCTTTAGAAGCCAGGTGTCTGACAACACCTTCTAGGCTCATGCCAGTGTCTAGGAGAGTCTGATCCTAGGATGTCTTGTGACCCTATAGATCTTAGGGTGTCTGCTTTTCCTGTTTCGGCCTGCGGACATGTCACCTGTGTTAGGATGCATAGTTCCTAATCTGGGCCTGGGCCTGGGGAAAACCAGCATTGAAAGCTGCCTAATCGAAACTAGAAGTGAGGTCTCTAGTTCCAAGTATTAAGTGAGAACCTTGGAACAGCAGTTTCACAGAATGTTAGTAAGTATTCTGTGATAAAAGGGTTCATAGTCAAGTACATCTATGAAAGCTGGGTTAAGCAAAATTATATATATATTTCACCAAAGGGCCTGTGAGAACATTCAATAGGTGACTGCATAATGTGAATTTCAGAGGTGGGAAAGGTCATCTTCAGATAGGGCAGTCAATGGAATTCTACCGAAGCAGGTGGTTGTATCGTGCTACAAAGAATGAGTAGGGTACAGACATTTCAGGGCTGTAGAGGAAAGAGACTTCTGGTGGAGGTACTGGTAGGCACAAGAAATCGACACAAGAGTCCACAGGGAGAGTGCAAAGAACATGGTGTGTGTGAAGGGTCGTGTGAGTTGCAGGCTTGGGAAGGTAGGCTGGGATTGGATTGTGATTGCAGGTTAAGTGTTTAGTTCTTTAATTCATTGGGCGACAAGTCATCCTTGAGGAGTCACTGCATGATGGAAGTGTCTTGACACACATTGATCTGGTGCCTGGGTGGAGATGCCTTGGGAAACCCAAGAAAGGCAGGAGCATTTCAACCAGGCAAGATATAATTTTTTTTTAATTTTTATTTTATTTTATTTTATTGCTTAAAGTATTACAAAGGGTATTACATATGTGTCCTTTTTCCCCCCCATCCTTGACAATACCCTGGCCTCCCCTACCCCCCAGTGTCTTATGTCCATTGGTTATGCTTATATGCATGCATACAAGTCCTTCAGTTGATCTCTTACCCCCCTCCCTCCTGCCCCCCAACCCTCCCCGGCCTTCCCGCTGCAGTTTGACAATATGTTTGAGGCAGCTCTGCCTCTGTAGCAAGATATAATTGAATTAGGGAGGTGGCAGAGGAATGGAGAGGAGGGGACACACACAATAGTAGACACTTGACAACTTGTGTTAGATAAAGTGTTCAAAGATATGGAAAATTAGATGAGGTAGGTAAGAAAATTATATGCTGACTTTTCAAATTTGTGAGAGAAAAAAAAATCTTTGTGGCTCATGACTCCCAAATTATAATTTCCAGCCCAGACCTCTGCTGAGCTTTAGATTCCTGAACCTCATGGCCTGCTGATATCTTCACTTGGATATTGAAATTACACCTTTGATCTAACAGGTTCTAAATTGAAACTCCTGATTTCCACTGCTTCTCCTCCCACCCCCACCACAGTTCAACAGAGTTGAAGGCAACTTTTGCCCACCCCGTACATCCTCATGACTATTTTGCAATTGCCATTTTGTACTTTTTAACCCCTCCCCCTTTTTCACCCAGTCCCTTAGCCCCCTTCTATCTGGCAACCATCAATTTATCCTCTGTATGCGTTCCCAACAATGTGAAGGTGTCAGTTTTTCCAGTTAAGACTGCAAATCTACATTAATATTGAGAGTCAATGCAGTTAAAAACAAACAAACCACCCAACAGGCATTTTTATTTGTTTGCTTGTTTTTGGTAAAAAATGCCAGGCTGATTAAAAAAAATATATGGAATTGCCTCAAATAGCCAAAATTACCGGGCAAAGGAATGAATTTTGAGGACTGATGTCAAAGTTTATTATAAAGCTCTGGAATCAATAGGAGTTCTAGTCAAGATCTTGTTTGCAAGAGGGTTCTACTGCTAAAATTTGTTTGAAAATCTGGTGCAGTATCCTGGAACCCAGGGGAGGAGAGAGATGGAAGGAAGGTGTGGTGAGGCACAGCAGAAGGGCTGCGAGTAGGAGGTTCTTACTGATACTTAGGCTGCAGGACAGCATTAGTGAGGAGAAAAACCAAATGTTTTGGGGTTAAGGAGTAAGTGAGTGGCAAATAAATGCAGGCATCTGGTATAGATCACGGTAGGAAGAGAAAGGATGCAGTATCGTGGTTGGGCAGCCCTCCTGATATTCATGCTCACTATCAGTGCTAGGGATGGTTTCTTAACTTAAAGGTGCTTTGATTAAAGCTGTGGTTTACAAGGGTGTTACTGGATTTGAGAAGAGGGAGACTCCATAGTTCTCTCACCCCATTCATTTGTCTGTGATTACGAAACTTCTTTTGGACAAGTCACGTTAAATCGGCACCTTTTATTTTAGAAATATTTACATTTTTAAACTCACTTTTTCTCTCCAGTGCTTGAATTACTGTTAAAAAGAGCAAAACCACACTGCTTAATTTAATCCCTGCTTGTTGTTTAAGGAGATTCTCCTAGAAAATTGGTGCAATGCAGCTCTGTGAAGAATTTTACATTGTCTTTATAATGTGTATAGCTAGTTAGAGGCTAATTTGAAACTACTTTCCATTCTCTAATTGATTTTGTTCCTCTGATTACTGAAATCTAAAAACACTTTTTCACTTTCCTCTCCCTTCCTTTCCTTCCTTTTAGTTTTTCTTTCCTCCTGTTTTCCCCTCCCTCCCTCCCTCCCTCCCTCCCTCCCTCCCTCCCTCCCCTCCTTTCCCCTCCCTTCCTTTCCCCTCCCCCTTCC